AAAATCAATGGTTAATTTGTTTTTTATCCATTGAAAATGCCCCCAGATTATCTTAAATGGACTCTCTTTATATATGTTCAAAACTTACAAATTAGCTCCCTTAAGTTTTAAAAACAAGAACATAAATTTTAAAAATAGTCCAAAAAGTCAACATGTTAACCAAGGTATATATTAAAAACCAAATGGAATATTAAACTGATTAAATCACTAGTTCATGATCAAATGGTTGAACACTTGAACTGTTGTGTCAAACCAATTATAAGTAAATTAGTATTTTTTCTGTCAACTATATATTTAGTAACTATTTTAAATAAAGAGTAAAAATAACAACAAAAATATAAAAATGGTAAACGCAAGGAAAACTAAATTGCTTTAAGAAGTATAAAATATAATTTAATATAAAATGAAATAACTATGTCATTAAAAATATCCATAGTGTGCATCTTGTACTATAATTTATAATTTAGCGTGCATAAAATTAAATAGATTCATTACCTTCTGCCAATATGTGCAGCTTTGATAACCTATCTACAAGACACGGAAATGGAACATGACATCAGTTCAAAACTGGAGGATCAGATGCAGACATAACTATTAAATATGGGATTTTCGATACTAAAAATAAATAAATTAGTTTAGCAATTAATTACTCATTTTGGCCCCAAAAAAAACTGTTCTCCTGAAAGACATGTGCCATATCTAAGTGAAGCACTAAATAAATATGTTTTTCTCCAAAGTAATATTTAAATGGATAAAAGTATACATTTAATTCTTTAATTTTATACAATATTTCAGTATGGTCCTTTAATATTACAAATTATCTTTTTAATCCTCAAATTCTAAGACTATTATTAATAATTTTTTACCATATATTATTAGTCTCAAATGATATTTGTTTGGATAATGAAACTTTTAATGTTTATCAATTTAGTTCTTTATTTTCTTAAATTATTATGTGAATCTTTTAAGTTTTAAAATATAAATTGACTCTAAAATAATTTAATGTACACATACAGAGTATATTGATAACTAGACATGTATATATAGTTAAATAATAAAAAATTAACCATCAAATCAATTTAATTTTTGTCAATATAATCTCTTATATTATGTTTTATTCTGTTTTAAAGAAAATCAAATTTTTTTTTACCTAAATAACTACATTTCTTTTCAATAATTGATTTGGTTTTGTCAATATTATAATATTCATATAAGCAAAATTTAATAGTGTTGCTCCTTCTTCGATCAATAAGAACCAAATTGATATCTTGATAAATTTAAAAGACTGAATCAATAAAAATTATACTTGAAGGATTAAATTAATAAATAAAATAAACTTGAGAGATCAATAAAATTGCTTTATCCCTTCTTTTTTTAATCAATCACTATTATTTTAAAAAATTAAATTTAATATGTCAACATATAATAATATTTTGTCAATATTTAAAAGTTCAATATTAGAATCATTTATTACTAAAATTATAAAAAGAAAAATCACATTCACCGTTAGATGAAAAAAAAAAGGCAATGAGACCCAAAACAAAGCAAGGTTTAATGATGCACAAGACAAAATTTAGCGATTGGTTGTGCATGGTAAACTTTTTATCATTCTAAGCTTTTACTGTTATTTTTTCTTTTCTAGGAGCCGGATTCTCCTATTATAAAATTGACTACATGAACTTATAAAGATAGAGAATTAAAAAAATCTATAAAATCAAAGGGTTAAAAATAAAATAGATTTAAATGTAAAGCAGAAAAGGAAAGTGACTTACTGCAAATTGGACCTTCATGAGTGGTTTATTCCCATGGGACCGTGACAGGTAGAAGAGACCCAACATTGGAGACTCTGAGTTTCACGTTTCAAAGAGCAGAAACTGAAACTGGAATTCGGACAACTATGATCAAAACAAGCTCGTTTCCACCACAAAACCTCGAATCCTGAGGAAAGCACTTTGTGAATATCAGCGTAGGATTTGATTCCGCCAGGTACCTGTGAATGAAATGGTGGCCACCAATTTCACACTATACTGAGGTTTTAATTCCTTAACCAGTAAGTCTCCGGCCATGGCATACACTTGGCCTCTTCCTCCTCCTTTGGATTCCCAATTCACGCGTGGAGATGTATCCAGGTACGCTGTAACTTCCCTCGCTGGATGGCTGCAGTTCAGGTACACAACGTGCTTGAACGAAACTTCTAATCCTATTGGCTTCAGACTGGTGCGCGCTGTAGGGATTAGCACTGTCATAATCCATGTTCGAGAGGTAAGTGTTGGTGAAATTGGATTGGGATAAGTAATAGCGAGGGAGGGAAGAGCAATTTCCCGCCTGAATTCTAGGATCTACGAGTCGGATTGTGCAGTTGTTGTAGTTTATTGACATTACTCGGTATGTTCCTGAATATAACTGAACAAGTGTGACGCTGTTTCGCAGGACAGCTATTATTTGGGGTCGCCGCAGTTGGGTGGTTCATGTCTTAATCGAAATGGGTGTGAGATGTTTGTGATAATGCTGCATCGAGACAGAGCACAGATTTTGTTCTGCTCTTGAGAACTCGTAAACCCATGCTTTAGAAGCAGAGCGAACGACACCAAATACCAGCACTTCAATATTGTTCGCTTGCTAGGCTTTTGTGCTGATGGTTTTTAGCGTGCTCTTGTTTATGAGTTCTTTCCAAATGGTTCACTGCAAAAGTTCATTACTTCCCCTGACAACAGAGAAAATTCCCTTGGATGGCTAAAGTTGCAACAATTTGCCCTCAACATTGCCAGATGGATTGAATATCTTCACCAAGGTTGTGATTATCAAATTTTTCACTTTGACATCAATCCTCTTAATGTGTTATTAGATGACAGTTTCATTTCTAATATTTCTAATTTTAGTCTAGCCCAATTGTGTTCTAAAAATCAACGTACATTGTTGATGATAGCAGTAAGAGGAACTTTAAGTTACATTACATTCGAAGTTTTCTCCCGAAACTTTGAAAATGTGTCGTATAAATCAGATATTTATAGTTATGGAATGTTACTACTAAATATGGTTGGTGGAAGAAAAAATGTTGATATGAATAAAGAAACTTTTCAAGTTCTATACCCAGAATGAATCCATAATTTAATTAAAGGTCGAGACATAAATATGCACATAGATGATGCTCATGATATTAGAATTGCAAAAAAGCTATCAATTGTCGGGCTTTGGTGTATTCAGTGGCATGAAAACGGTGATACGAATGTTAGAAGGAGAAGCAGATAAATTAAAGGTCCCTCCTACTCCATTTGACTCCGCTACTTCAATAAATACAAATACTGTTGTTCCTGCAAGACACTTGGCTTTACAGTTAGAAGTGATTCATGAATTAGAATAACACATTGGCAGGCTGGTTTCCAAGCACACTTATATTGATGATATTGTGAGATTTGGATGTTGATTTTCATGTTTATTCTGTAAGACTGTGAATGTATCCTTTTATTGTCCGTTTACCAATTTAATTATGTTTTCTGTAGTAATATTTTACGTAATATGGTCAAATTACTGTAGTTGATATATAATAGAATCCAAAAGTCTTCGTTATAGCAAGATTTGTTTCCCTACATCTGAATGGCTTGAACTCTAGACATCATACCTTTATATGGCTCCTCTCATCCGCTCTTCCGGAACTTTCTTCAGGTGGTTTTGTTTATTTCAAAATTTTTAATATATATATATATATATGTATATATTGTGACATTCTTGCTGTCAAATAAAACAGGTTGTCTTTAAGTGACATTCTTTTAAGAAACATAAAGTTTAATATGTTTTATTGTACACAATTGTTTGAGTGTGCAGTCGCCTTTTTCTTTCCCTGAAAAATCTTTCTTCAAATGTGATATTTATTAACTTCAATGACTAAGCAATTACTAACTCAGAAAATAAAATAAAGTGTTCATTTCCTGAACACCCAGTGTATATTTGGTGCATATAATCTTTGGGATAAAAAAAATATTATAAGCATGATACTATTTATTAAATATTCATCTTGTCCTCTTTATAAGTCATTTTACCAACCTTATCAATATTAATACAAAAAATATAAGAAATAAAAGTGTATAAAATTTCAAATATGCCCTTATATAATAAATTTAAAAAGTGATATTATGTTATTTTTTCTCTTTCATGAAGGGTAATTTTAAAAATAATTTTTAAATATTACTTAAAAGCCACATCATGACTTATAAATGAGACTAAATACATTTTCTAACCTTATAAATGAGACTGGCAAAATGAATCATTGATGTGTATGTAGTAGAAACGAAATTAACATCAAGTGCTTGGTTGTAACAAAAATGAAATTTCGTGAACTAAAATTTACAATAGCACCCAAGTTCTTCCTTACAATATTAGAATCTTCTCCTCTCTAAATTAGATCTCTAGCAACCATGGGATCCAAGAAAACATTTTAGTTTGACTATCATTTCTTTTGTTTTTTTTCTTTAAAAAAGTATTTGCTGAGATTTCAATAATAATTTTCTAAATGTGTAAGTATAATTAGCTTCTGGACTATCCTTAAACAAAATCATCTCTAGAATCCAATGGATATAAACCAGAATTATTGTTGAGCGACTTCTTACCGGAGATAATGACGATGAGATGCTTCGGTCTTCGAGCTTATATATGCTCTGTTTATAACATATCTAACATAAAATTTATAGGATTTTAAATTATATATTAATAAGTTATAAAAGTATGACTCGTATCAAATACTTTACGCAAAGCACAAGCATCCCACAATCTAATTTTCTAAGAAGAACATTGCCCAAAAGCCATTTAAATAAAATGAAACAAATTAAGCTGATATTGTTTAATAACTATAATATAATACAGATATAACAAATATTGCATATTTTAATCTAGGAAGTATTGTGAAAAAGAAATCATTTTCGTATTGATACAGGCAGTGAATTACTCTTCCGAGGAGGTCAAGCCCACACCCCCCCCCCAAATTTTTGTGCTGTGTGATATAAGCATCAATCCTAGCTACATGTGTAATTAAGTTCAAAGAGATTGATAGTCATTGTATTTGACTATTTGTACATATCATTACATCACTAATAAAAGTATAAATAGGACATTAAATTATAAGAGCTAAACCCAAATCAGGACAATGATATATAACTGAGTTTTGTTATGAAATACAAATACAACTTAAAAAACTTACTAGCGTTGACCAGCTCCTCTCTCTCTATATATATAGCTGTAGATCAGTATTATTTCAAGTCATCATCACTTGCATCCTCACCTAGATTGCTACAAGAACATGTGGGGAATAAAGATGTTGTTTGTAGGTCAAAGTTGAGTCTGTCATCATCATCAGGATATATGGAAGGTTTTGGAGGCAATTCCAGACTTTCAACATCATCTGCTTGCAACATTTCTATTGCTTTGTTCATGGAAGGGCGATCAGAAGGATTAAGTTGTATGCACCAAAGCGCTACAATGAACATTTTCTTCACCAAAACCTTTTCCTCTTCTATCAAATCTTCCATGTCTATGTCTTTTTTTTCATCAAATTGGCCATAAATCCATAATGGAAAATATACCTGGCTTGAATGCTCTGCACATGGATTCAAGTTTCTTCTCCGGCTCGCCATTTCCATTAAAAGCATTCCAAAACTATAAACATCAGCTTTATAAGACACTTTCCCAATATTCTTATAGAACAACTCAGGAGCCATGTACCCTATTGTTCCTCTTGCTGCAGTCAAAGTGGCAATGCTATCATCAATAGAATATAACTTTGCTAGTCCAAAATCTGAAATTTTTGGGATCAAGTTGTCATCAAGAAGAATATTATGGGGCTTGATGTCAAAATGTAATATTTGCATGTCACAGCCATGATGAAGATAAGCGATCCCACGAGCCACTCCTAAGGATATCTCATATATTTTGTGATAACTTATGCATCCTTCTTTGAAAAAAATATGTTTATCCAAAGATCCATTCGGCATGAATTCATAAATAAGAGCACGCTTTGTTCCTTCCACGCAAAAACCAGCGAGACGTACCACATTGAAGTGATGTATCCTCCCAATGGTTGCAACTTCACTGATAAATTCTTGGTCAGTAGCTTTGGATTCACCCAACATTTTAATCGCAACTTCAAGTCCACTTCTTAACCTGCCTTTGTACACAATACCAAAGCCTCCTTCACCTATCTTAGTCTTGAAACCTTTTGTCATTGTCTTTAATTGCTTGTAGGAGTACCTTAATGGAATGAGGTTATAAAGTCTGATAAAAGCTTCAATGTTTTCATATGCTGATAAGTGTCTTCTTCTAAATGTGTAAATCGTCAACAGTAGAAGAAGTAATATGCCAACTATATATCTTAAAATTGTGTATGGCAAAATATATCTTCCTGTGATTTTTCCTAAGACAAATGCAAGGTGTATTGGACTGAATTTTGGACTATCGTCGTTATCATTGTAATAGTATTCAGCCAAATGGTGATCAATGTCTGCGTCTGCACAGGTCATAAAATTGTTTTGTCACAACAATATGGTTAACAAAATCAATGGGAAAAAAAAATCTTTTTCTCAAATATAGATCAATGTGCTCACACACGAAAAATAATTTATAAAAAATATATATTTTTATATGTTAAAATATATATTTAATTCTTTAACTTTATATAAATTTTTATTGTTATCCTTTAATTTTATAAAATGTCTTTTCAATCTTTTAATTTACCATTGTTAGTTCTATAAAAAAAAATTCATATATTGAACTTTTAAATATTGATAAAGTATTCTCAATTGTTAACATATTAAATTTAATTTTTTTAAAAATAACAATGATTGGCACAAAAAATAATTATATGAAAATAATGATGTTAGGATTAAATGAATGAAAAGATATTTTATAAAAATAAGAAATTAAATTAAAAATTTATATAAAGTTAGAGGATTAAAAGTATACTTTAGACTTATTTATAAGTTTATACATATAATAGAAATAATATAACTTTTAGTCCCTAATTAAAACTTTCTTTCAATTACTGATTTAGCTCTTGAATATTAACTCAATAAAACTTAGTACTTGTAATTTATTGAGCGAATGAATTACAGGAATTGATTAATACCAAGTTAAAAAATTGCAATGGCTAAATTATTCCAAGTCAATATATAAAGAATTAGTTATTTTAAATCAAAATTCAGGAACTACATCGATAATTAAGAAAAATTTAAAACAAAAGTTACATTTTCCGTAAATAATATAACTCATGTTATCACCGTGAATCACAGGACCAGCAATATAATTTCAACAAAACTTTTTCCTTAACAATAAGTATAGATGATTTAATTTTATAATTAAATATGACAATTTTGGGCTTCAACATATCTACATATAGCCTACAGATGAATTTTTGAAAACTTAATAGTATAACTATACGTAAACTTTTTTTATTATTTGATCAAATAACTATAAAAGTTAATAAGGATGGTTGTAATGCATTTATTTACATAATATAATGTCTGATGAAATGAAGAAAAAATATTAAGACATCATATTTGACTAAGGCTTGGCTATCATTTTTTTCTCCTCAATTTATTTACGTATATCAACTCATCAAATGACGTAATTCTTTCGGAGTAACTTTTAATTTGTGACATTTTTCCCAGAATCATTTTGGAACTCTTGAAAAACATTGACTTGAAGTGCAAAGCATAGTTCACTCAATGTTTTATATAAAGATGATTTTTCATAATGACATGTATAAAAACTTAAAAAGATAAATTCCGGCTAATTTTTTATTTATGATTATTACATTTATGCTTTTTTTGTTGACCAGGACTTCTAATAAATTAATAAATAAAAAATATTAATAATTAAACATGTAAAATATTAAAAATGAATATCATAATAAATATATTTATCTATATATACTCATAGAACTTATTTTAGAATTTATACTGTTTATACGTTATAATTAACATAATTAATTTTAAATACAACCCCGTTCTGTTTGATGTAGATTATAATAGTTCAGGAATTTACCCATATGAATATCCTCAGAAGATGGGAAACCTGCAGAGAAAATTCACGAATGTCAACTGTAGCATTATTATGAAAATCTTTACAAATGAGAACTATTTTTAAAATTTTGATTATTATAATCATTATTATCAAAAAATAAAATTTTGATTATTATTATTATTATTGTTGTTGTTGTTGTTCTTAGTTTCATTGGTTATCCTATTCAAACTGAAGTGATCTGTACAATAATCTTATACATTTCCACGCCCTTCTATATTATGATTAAAGCTCAATTTGAGATTAGGATGTAGATGTTTCATTCTAACAAAGCTAAAGATTTTTTTTAATCAATATCTATATGATTTCTTTGATATATACATTAAGCCAATTGAACATACCAAGTAAAATAAAAAGATGGCATAGATTTTTCACCCAAAAAAAAAAACAAAGATGACATATATTATATAATATGAGTTCGAGAGATTACCTGCAGTAATGCCAGCGAGATATGCTGCAAGGGAATTTTACAAAAGTCAAACATACGAATAAGATACATGGGAAAGCTTACAGCAGGCAGATTTGATATATAATTATGGTGAAATAATAAACAAATAAGGAATGACAAAAAATTTATCTCAAAATAGATAAATAATAATTAAATACCACAATATATGCTAATTATTGGGGAGAATTATATCCAATTCCTTCTCAAGAGAATTAATCACGAATAAGGATCAATGTGAAATAGATTGTTGTTAAAATATGAAATATGACTTGTTTTTTTTTCAAAAGAGATTTATTGTTGATCCTTATCCTTGATTAATTTCTTTAAAAAGGGATTGGCTGTAATTCTTCCTAATTATCATTTAGTCCTTAAGGACTTGTCTGAAATTTTTATTTTTAATGAAATGATATATTTTCTTTAGTGACTATTACCAAAAAAATGATTAAAACAGAATAGAAGTCATACTGCTCAGTTCCCTCATATCAATTATATAACTCTTACGACAAGATTTAGATAGTTTTATATATTTAATGTATTTATACTAATAACCAAATCAAAATAAGTAAATCTTAATGTATTAATAACATTTATCATAATATACTCCATTCAGACCAAAATATAATGTATTGGTAACTAATTCACAATTCTTGAAAACGTTAGTCGAGATCTTAATTTCTCAAAAAAATGTACATCTTTTTAATTTTTACCCTCATTAAATACCATACATAAGTGCTTTAATAATAATAGTTAAAATTCTTGTGCCTTATTTTTTTTTCAAAAAGAGTAATAAATGAAATAAGGCTATAGTTAAAAAAAATTATAAAACTTGCCCAATACCCTATATCTTGCACCAAGCAAGACTTCTAAAAGATGTCTATATTATAATATGAAGGGATTATATATATAAACGATCTATGTGTCTTAATTTAATTGAAAAACAAACACATTAAATGTATAAGTTTAATTATATATACTCTTTTTATTAAAAAATATAAAGTATTTTTAATCGAATCTCACTCTTAATTAAGTAGTTAACTATATTTAAAGTAACAATATTTGTTTATATTTACCCTTATTTAATAGGATGTTTCACTTAAAAATAAATATAAAATAATTCATTTATCAAGGATATTTTTTAAAAAAATTAATTATATCTTAAAATATTAAAATGTTTTACATTTTTAACAGAAAAAGTAAATTTTTTCCTAATCTGCAAACACTACATCATGCATCATGTTAACAGTTAGGGAGATTTTATGAGGATAACATAAAAATTACTCTCTCCTTTTAAAAATGGAAGGCATTTTTAACAGAATCTCACCCCAATATAAAATAATTCATTTATTAAGGATATTTAAAAAAAATTAATTATATCTTAAAATATTAAAATGTTTTACATTTTTAACAGAAAAAGTAAATTTTTTCCTAATCTGCAAACACTACATCATGCATCATGTTAACAGTTAGGGAGATTTTATGAGGATAACATAAAAATTACTCCCTCCTTTTAAAAATGAAAGGCATTTTTAACAGAATCTCACCCCAATATAAAATAATTCATTTATCAAGGATATTTTTTAAAAAAATTAATTATATCTTAAAATATTAAAATGTTTTACATTTTTAACAGAAAAAGTAAATTTTTTCCTAATCTGCAAACACTACATCATGCATCATGTTAACAGTTAGGGAGATTTTATGGGGATAACATAAGAATTACTCCTTCCATTTAAAAATATAAGGCATTTTTAACAGAATTTCACCCTTAATAAAGTAGTTACCTACTTTCAAACTAATCTTATATGTTCATATTTATCCTTATTAAATATCTTACAATAAATATAAAGTCACTATCAATAGGGGCACTTTTAAAAAAAAGACAATAATTACACCTCGAATGACTAAAAATACCCTACATTTTTTAGCATCTAACTTCTTAAAAAATGTCTTATATTTTTGAACGGGGGGAGTAGATGTGTAGATGAATTATATGAACAATAATATATCTAAATATTTTCTGGAAAAAATTATAGATTGATCTTAAATGGATAAAAAGCATTTTAACAAATTTTATGAATTAGCATGGATAATAGTTGAAAGTAGTTAAATATTTTTTGTTCTTAGAAGATAATAATTAACTTTATTGTAAATATTTTTAAGTGTCGTTAGCTTTGTCTTTTTTATATATTTTTTCCTCAAACATTTTGTTACTTTTAGGTATAAATTGTTAAGTTATTCCTCATGATCAAATTGGTGTTGATTTATTTGAGAATTAAAAATTGGATGAAAATTATTACCTTCTAAACCAAAGCTCAGCCGTGTTGCCTTTCCTACGCCATTCAACAATGAAACATAGAATCAACTCAAAAGCAAAAATTCTAGATATTAATAATATAGAGTATAAAACATTTAATTCCTTATACTAAATGTAAAATTGGCTTTGATTAAATTTGAGTTGAATTAGAACTAACAAATGATTAGCGACGCTCAAAAAAGCAGATCATGTATTGGACGAAAAGGAAATAGCAGATTATGAAACTCAACAGTTTTGGTTGGTTTAGTGTACTTAATAAGTAAAATATATCCAAAAAAATACTCTTCTTAATTCTATTTATAAATTACTTCCAATAAAGTTCATGAAAATAAAAAAATTTTAAATATTATTAATTTTATCTTAAAATTTAACAAGTTTACACATCTACTCTCTATTAAGAACAAAAAATAATTATTTTTAATAATTTTTTAAGTATTTAATAAGGATAAAATAGTAAAGATCGATTTAAAAAATAATGAATTACCTTATAAATAAAATTAAAATTAATTTTCTTTCTTTACACTATAAATAGGAACAAAGGAGTAGATAACTTGTATAGCCAAAAAATACTCCTTCCATATATATAATGTGTTTTTAACTGAATTCTGCATATCAATAAAAATTTATTATTTAGTTAAAATTACATTAAATTACAATAATTTTTAAAATTTGCCCCTAATAATATCAATTAATATAATGGTGATAGTGAGTAAAGCACATCATTAATATATCCTTATTTTTTCAAAATAAGAATAAAATTATTTAATTACTTAAAATATCATGACACTTCTTATATTTGGACTTTGGAGATAAAATAAACTTTTAAAAAACATTCTATATATAAGGATGAAGGGAGTATTACTTTTGAAGAAGGACTTGGTTTAGAGTACATAATAAATTAAGAGTCCAATTTTAGTGCTCATCACATGACAAGCAATAAGATTTTATTTTTATAATAAAAAATTATAAAATTTTAATAAATATATCTTATTATCAGTATGAATAATATAGATTTAATGCGAATAGTCTAATTTAATGTTATATTTTTTTATAATTTTTTATAAGTAAATTATCTAAATGTAGTTTGAATAGTTTGGATAAAAAATTTTTAATTTATGACTTTTTCTTAATTTTTTTTGAAGTACCAGTTTGAAGATTATTTTTATTTTTATTTTTTAATATTATATTTATTAAAATAAAAATTTTAAAATATATATTATTAAATTTAGATGATTTAGAATACATTTGGTCAATTTATAAAAGTTATAAAAAATTAATATTAAATTTAATTATCTAAATTAAATATGTATTATTTAAATTAATGATAAGATAAATTTATTAAAATTTTATATTTTTAAAATAAATATAAAATAAAAATATTAAAATAAAATAGTAAAATCTGGAATGTCCAGATGGTGCTCATTACACCCAAACCAAAGGCAATAAATTAAAGTTTCAGGCTGCAAACTAGGTGGAAATAGCTTTCAGGTTACTATGATTATAACTCGTTTGTAATTAACTCAATTTTAAAATTTTAATTAGTGCAACTCAACACCTATAATTTTATTTTAACTTGATTGAATTTGAAATAGACTTCTTATATTTTAATTCAACACAACTCAATTCCTATTTTTACACTTTAGAACATTAATCCCTAAACTTTAATGAGAACTTTAATTCTTATAATTTTATTGTAAAATATAGAAACTAATATTTTATATAGTTAAAATTATAAGCATTGAATTTTATCAAATCAAAATTTATGAATTAAGTTCAACTAAATCAAAATTATAAGATTGAATTGCGTTGGGTTAAAGTTGGAGGACTAACTAAATTTTAAATAAGTTAAAAATATGAGACTAAATGTTTTATTATTCCTAATTTTATTTCCCAAAACCAAACAGACACTTTTTTTTTTACCAATAATAAGACTTACCAATAATATTTCGCAAAACAGGTAATATATAATAATATATGGTATATGAAAAGGGCAATAATAAGACTTACCACAAAAGAGATCAAATCCAAAGACACGGTAGCAGGTGGCATCAACTCCATTAGTGCATATGACCTTTTGCCTGTAATCGTCGTACGCGCAAGGCTTGTGAGATGGACAGTCAAGATCAAAACAAGCTCGTGGCCACCATGAAATCTCAAAACCATACAAAAATGCTCTGTGAATTTCAGCGTACGATTGGTATTTCCCCTTGCGGAGTTCTGAGCTCCAATCTGAAGCAATGGTGGCCACTAATTTCACACAACACTCAGCATTCAACTCGTCAACCACCAAGTCATAATCAGCCACAGCATAAACATGGCCTCCTCCTCCCTCTTTGGATTCCCAATTCACGCACGGAGCCGTATCCACGTAGGCTGCATCGTCCCTCACCGGATCGCTACAGTTCAGGTAAATGACGTGATTGAATATAGGTTCGGAATCGATTGGCGACGGTCTTCTCAGTGTGCCGCCGTATGGATCTTTGTTATCATAAAGGGAGGGATCTACGTAGGTGTCGGTGAAATTAGATCGGGATAAGAAATAGCGAGGGAGGGAGGAGCAGTCATCCTCGCTAATGCCAGGATCTTTGAGTCGGATTGTGTAGTTGCTGTAGTTGATTCCCAGGACTTGGTATGTTCCATTGTACAATTGAAGCAGAGTGACATTGTTTTCACAGGTTAACTCGTAGCTCGGGTGGCCACAATAGGGTGGGTCATCGGGGAGACGAAATGGATATAAGATGTTTGTGATAATGCCGCAGTGAGATGGTGGACAGGCTTTGCTCTGATCCTTGGAACTCGTTGTTGGGTGCACTACTAGATACAGAGTTAAGAGCACTAAGCACCAGAACCTGATCATCAAGCCTGTCTTGCCTCTAACCATCCTTCAGAATCCCAATCAATGGCCTCTCATCTCAGGTCATTTGGATCCTATCTCTTTAAAAGTGTGTTGCACATGAAAAATAAATTATGAACTGCTTTTTAGCCCACTAAGCTTGACTAGACACGACAAAGTTGATTTTTTTTTTTTTAATATTTCCATTCACCGCTCTCGAAGACCTAGGAATACTTTAGCCCATAAGAAAATTTATATACTTTAGCCAATAACATCCCCTTAACCTAACCATTTCCCCTTTTTGAATATACAAAAGCCAGACCCCCCGCGTGATGATTTCTTTTTTCTGCCCAAAGCTGACCTGAAGCTGTTGTCCAGTTGCACTAATGATATTTTAAAGTTGCATCCCCATTACCACCTCTTTCTCTATTGGGATGCCGTGTAATTGACACTTGTATATAATATAGACAGGATTTGAGTCCCCCAGTTTCAGATTAAAAGAAAAGCTTTGATTACAATGTTTTGGCATCACAGATTTTTGTGGTTGGTGATAATGCAGGGATTGGTGCTGTTTATGAATCTGGGGAATGCTCAGAACCCGTGTGTCCTTGATGATGAAAATGTTCCCTTCCATCTCGTGCAGGCTAAGTTTAATAATAGCAATCCCTGTGCTTTTGATCCAAGTGAAGATTTGTGCATGGTTGAGTTCCCGACAGTACCGGCTCTTAAGGGTGCAAGACTCTCAGTCATATCAATAGACTATGAATCCCGCTTCTTAGAATTATGTCATGTTGAAGGTTGTCTTCCCGAACTCTTTCTACGACTTCACAATTCACCCATTTCCCCCTTCCAATTTGAATCTTCTTTCTCGGAATTATTCGAACCACCTTCCAATATTACTTTCTTCAATTGTTCTTCGATTGGGTCAACATACCTGAAAAACAAATCCCCATTTAAGCAAGATATGTTTAGTTGCCCGATTTATGTTGTTGACTCCGATGATAGTATCTTGAAGAATGATGTAACTTTCTGCAACAAGATGTTTCCGTTAGCTTCGCCAGTAATCGGATTGGATTTTCAGTTTAACAGAATTCGACTCAAATGGTCCCTACCAAAACGTGACGTTGAAAAGAACAAACCCAGCAAGATATCCAAATTTGTTTTACCAGCTTCAGGCAATTCACTCTGCTTCTCCCTTTCTCTTTTTCATTTGGTTTTGTGATGTTCCTTGGATTGAAATTGAATGTTCCGTTAATATGCTTGGTAACTACAGGTTCGATTGTGCTGTTGTTGTTGTGCATTGTGTTTTTTCTAATATATGGCTACTTCAAAACCAAAGGAGATGATCAAGCAAGGCTCGAAAAGTTTTTGAAGGATTACGAGGCCCTGAAGCCTACTAGATTTTCTTATGCTGATGTCAAAAGAATGACGAACCATTTCAAGGATATAATAGGCAAAGGAGCTCATGGATCAGTCTTCAAGGGTAAGCTATCCAATCAAATTATAGTAGCTGTAAAGGTACTCAATAACTCTGATGGCGATGGTGAAGACTTTATCAATGAAGTGGCGACTCTGGGTAAATTTCATCACATCAACGTTGTTCGTTTGTTGGGCATTTGTGCTGATGGGTTTCACCGTGCTCTTATTTATGACTTTTTTCCAAATGGTTCTCTCCAAAACTTCATATCTTCTCCCGACAACAAAGAAAAATTTCTTGGATGGTTGAAGTTGCAACAAATCGCTCTTGGTATAGCCAAAGGGATTGAATATCTCCACCATGACTGTGATTTTCGGATTCTTCATTTTGACATCAATCCTAATAATGTGTTATTAGACCATAATTTTGCTCCAAAAATTTCTGATTTTGGTCTAGCAAAATTGTGTTCTAAGAATCAAAGTATTGTATCAATAACAGCAGTAAAAGGAACTTTAGGATATATTGCACCTGAAGTTTTTTCTAAAAATTTTGGGAATGTGTCATATAAGTCAGATATTTACAGTTATGGAATGTTGTTGTTAGAAATGGTTGGAGGAAGGAAAATAACTGACACAAGTCAAGAAGCTTCCCAAATTTTATATCCAAAGTGGATCCATAATTTGATTGAAGGAGGAGATATAAATATTCACATTGAAGATGAAGATGACAACAAAATTGCAAAGAAACTAGCACTTGTGGGACTTTGGTGCATTCAGTGGCACCCGATTAGTCGTCCGTCGATGAAAACAGTTATACAAATGCTAGAAGGAGAAGGAAATGAATTGAAGGTGCCTCCGAATCAATTTGAATCCCTCAATTTTATTAACAAAAGTTCCATGTTCCAACATGATATTTGAATTTAGGGTTAGAAATTATTCATGAATTAGAATAAGAAGAATCCAATGCTCACCAGATATATGTAATTTTTACTTCTATGAGGAAATATTTTGTTAAGAGTTCATGATATGATATTGTGTTGTGTTGATTGCAAAAATGGACTTTGTTTATTATGCATGTGCCATTGAACTTCCTTTTTCATTTTAGCAATTCAATCTTTTACATTGTACTGTTATCTTTGTAGATTTGGGAGTACACGGTCCCGGGTTAAAAAGAAATTAGGAATGCTTAATGAATAAATTAAGTGAGAACTTGCCAATGAAGATCTGTTATAAGGATTGGACTCTTATTCTTAGTATAATTTAATTCAAAAGCTAGGATATGTTAGTAAGAAAAAACTATTTTCACAACCAACAAAGATTAGATTTAACAAAAAGGACTAATTTCTCACAACGTAATAAACTAATATTTAAATACTTGTTGAGAGAGGTGTTCGCATTTAGTATTCGATAATATTTTAAATAAAATTACTTTTAATAAGAGAATACTTGCCAGGAAAACAAAATAATTTTCACAAGATAATAGAAGTCTATAATTGAAACTTCTAAGTAAAAACACCCTCTCTACCAAATGAATTTTTGAAAAATTACTTAATTGAATAATAAAATAAAATAAATCATTTTTATATTAAAATTTTAGATTTAGAATTAATATATATCATGACATCCACTTTCTTTAGTAAAAATATAAACTTCAAGAATAAGAAGGTCTATCATAATTGACAGATAGTGTGAGTTTCTTAAACGTGTTTCAAACTGTAAAAGTCATAAAGTTGTCCTTAAAATAAGTGTAATGTTCTCACTTGCAATGTATTAGGTAAAAGAATGAACACCAAACTTCTTAGGCATTTTTTATTTTCTTTTTTATTATTATTAGAAAATTGATCCATGTTGTAAAAGTTGTACATTAGGGCACTACATTACCTTATTTTGTCTTTTTTTTTTAATCCATACATATATTGGTTTATTTTATTAAACCGCGCCCATATGCAACATTAACCGGACATTTGTAATTTTTTTATATGTAACAGGATCTTGGTTAGGTATACATCTGACTTTAACCCCTATAATGTGATTGATTTCATCACTTTTCCATGGGAAAGTTAATTTGTCAATCGTTATCATTTTCACCAAATTTTTGTGTACTTATGTTTACAACTAATCCACATGAGTTTATAATTCAAAATCATAATTTACAAATAAAATATCATTATTTACAATTGAACATACCTAAGTTGAGACATTATGGTGTATTCAGTTTTCACACTCATGACAAACTACAACTAGGTCCCAGGATACTTGAATGTATTTTGACAAATTTATAGAAGTGATTTGTAAATAAATATTTTATTTAGAACTTACATGTAATTATTCCAAAAATCTTATATTAAGGATGATGGAAAGGGCCTTATAATAACTAAATTAATTTATAAATAGAGGGTATATTGGTTGGTAAAATGTCTTAAAAATCAGATAATAATAAAAGTCTAACAGATACTGTATTGCAGAAATTTACATAATACAAAATATTTTTTATTACATAAAAGTATCATTTTATTAAAAACAATTTTGTTCAAGATATAGTTAAGCTAAATGAAAGTACATTTCATAGTAAAAATTTAAATATTAATTTATCATAATATTATGAGAAATTAATCCATTTTCTTAAACCCAGTCATGTCAATAATAAAAGAAAAAATAGCAATTAAGGACTATTAACCAAAATTTATATCAACTAAGGATCAATTATTGTTAAAATTAGAATAGATATTTGTTAAAAAATAAACTCAAATGGACTATTGTTAATTAATTTAGAATTAATTATTATTAAAACTTGAATAAATACTTGTTAATAAAAGACTAACCTAAATCAACAAGTATCCATTCAAGTTTTGATAATAATTAGTCGTTAACTGATATAAATTTTAATCAATGTCCCTTGGTTGCTATTTTTTCATAATAAAAAGTTGTTTTTAAAATAAGTGCAATGCATGATCACGTGTTACTAGTTCATCGTATGAACAACAAAATTCTTGGCTACATTCATTCCTGTTCATTGCTGGAAAGTGGATACATGTTATCAAAGGTCAAAAATAAAAATTGGAGCACTACTTTGCTTTCCTTTTTCTTGGAAAAAAAAAATCATATATAGGTTTAGCCTATTAGAGTTATCAATTGGTGCTCATATATATTATGCAACATTAGATTTTTTTTTAATATCTAAAAGTGGTAGTGGTTAGATATGTAATTAACTTTAACCTATTATTATTATTATTATTATTATATTGACTGTTTTCTTCTGATTTTTTTAATTAGCGCGTGCCATGCATAAAAGCTGCCTACCAAACTTTATTCTTAGAAAAATAATCCCATGTTGATTGCAATCTCAATTTTAAATTGATATTAATAATATATGTGTGCGCACGTGTGTATTAATAATATAATGAGATGAAGTGTATAATTGATATTATCTCACATGAAAGATGATTTTTCACGTCTATCGTCCTCACATTTCAATGAAAAATCGTGAGGAAATGTCAAAGAATTTAGAGAGAATCATATTTAAGGATCTTTTAAAAAAATTATTTATAGATAAGAATCAATACAAAATATATTATTATTAAAATAAAAATATAATTTTTTTTAGTGTAACTTGTTATTAGTTTTTATCTGTAAATAATGTTTTTGAAAGATCCTTGGATATGATTCCCCCAAATATTTTAACCCTTACAAGACAGATCTCATCTAACATTCTTTTTAACCTGAACTTCTCTCTCCTTATTAAAGTATTTAAGTTTCAATTTATCTTCACATTTGAGCTATTTTTACTAAATATTAGTATAAATGACACGATTTTCTCATGTAATAATTTCTCCACTCTCTTAGTATATGATAGACTACTAATAGATGGATGAAGGGTTAAAAAGCATATAGTGGACAACAAGTAATTTTTTTATTCAGGAAATAATTAATTTTTTATTCATAAAATACTTTTTGTTATTTTTATCATTCACATTTTAGTTTATTCTTGTCATATATTTTCTTTCATGTAGTTATTTGACTTGGTAACGTTGGACCCAATTAAGAGAAAGTCGTGGAAAGACATTTTCTACATTCACTCGCTCAAAGTCAAGATCTTATGTGTTTTTGGTGAATGAAAGTTTAGATGAATTGGATCTTGATAGCTTACTAAAATGAATGTGTGCATTCAGGCTTGTAATGCTTATATTTATGAATTATCTACCATTATGATCATCACATTGACAATGAGATTTTAACTCATAATCTTATAAATTATGAGTTAAATTCTTACTAACTGAATCTTGTTAGCGAGACTTTGTGTCTAAGTAATCATAGCCCTTTCTATTAGGATTAACCTTTGTTGGTTCATTATTTTTGGGTACAAAGGATGGGCTAAGCCCAGAAATATGGTGAAAGAAAGGTTGTTGGTTCTAGTTATATTGTTTGTTTGTACGGAGAGACATTATTTCTCTTATTGGGCCTAAGCCTATCAACCCACCATCAAAATCTCTCCTCCAAAAAACAAAAAAAAACCACAATGCGAAGAGGCAGGGCCATATTGGGAAATAGAAAACTAGCAGTACATTATGGGTACTTTGATAGAAGTTGGAACCCTGTCTTTTCCAGTTCCTATATACTCACTTTACCCGTTGGCCGCTCTTCTCTTTTTCTCGACTCCGCGGCGTAGATCCGAGGAGTTTGGGAAACCCTAAGCTGCTCTCCGAAACTATTCCAATCTTCGATCAATCACCTTTCTATTGCAGCGTTTTCGCCTTCCTTTTTCTTCGATCAACTTGCTACTTTCACTCTCAAAAGGTTGTTTTTTTTCCTCTTTTTTTTTCAACGATTTGATTTTTGTTAAATGATTTAGTTTGTTTGAATTATTTTGGAATTTTGTGCGTTCTCGATTGATATTTGGTCTATGCTTGATTCTGGTTATGCTGCTACTCTGATTGATATTTGGAATTTTTGTTATTTTGATTCATCTTTGGTATTTGAATGTTTGGTTTTTCCTTGGTTAGCTTTTTGTTTTATAAGTTGTGTGTGTTTCTGATAGTCATGTTTGTGATTTTGTTTTTATACGTATCCTGGGTTGAGATCTTGGGCAGATCAGGATTAGTGTGGATTTGTTTTCTTTTCCTTCATTAATGATATTTAAAGAGAAAAGCTTGGGAACTACCCATTTACTCAACCCCTTTTTCTGGCCTGATACTCAAGCCTTTTTTGAACTCTTTCCTTTCAAATTAGCTCATTTTGATGTTTGGCCTAAACGAAGTAAAGCAAATCTTCTATAAATTTTTAACAATTCATTCGACTTCATCCGCTTCCTGCTACATAGTTTAAGCAAATCCACATTTTTTTTAGTTAACCATACTGGTAACCGTTTCTGTATTTAGGTGGGAGATTACTTAAAACTGAAGTTATTTGGTAAGGAGCTCGACTGGTAGGCTGTGAAATATGTTGTGCGATTGACATCTCTCTTATATGAAAGTTCTACGCGTATTTTGCTACATCCCTTATTGTTTAATATTTACCTGTTAGAAGCCATGACCCATGATTCACTTTGGAATACTATTATGTTTATTATTTGGTAGTTATGTAAACTTTGTTGTCATGCAACGGTTCTTTTCATGATGATATGGATATTTTTTTTGTTACGTCAACTGTATTCCTCTATGTTGACGTTGTATTTTTATGCTAGCGCTAGGCCTACTCTTATTCACTGCTATTACTTATGTGGTATAAATAATTCTTTGCATCTTCCAGTCATGGCGGCAACAGCACCTGAGGGATCACAGTTTGATGCTCGTCAATATGATACCAAAATGAATGAATTGTAAGAACTATAATATTATTCCTTTAACAAGTTATAAGCATATTTAATCAGGATTTTGCTTATGATTTGTCTCCACATTAGGCAAATCATTGCAATTGAATGCTCATAATCTCTACTTGATATTGGTAGCTTTTTGATTTCAGACTTTCAGCTGATGGGCAGGATTTCTTTGCATCTTATGATGAGGTTTATGATAGTTTTGATGCTATGGGCTTGCAGGAGAATCTCCTGAGAGGCATTTATGCATACGGTAGATTATTACTAGTCCCTTTTGTTTCTGATTTTTATTGTTTATTTTTTTCCTTTTACTTAGTCCCAAGATTGATTTCATTGTTTCCTTTCAATTTTCCTGATCAGGTAGTTTGTAATTCTGAACTCCTTCTGCTTGTTTCTTTTCTGTGCTATTTAATTTTACTTCACCAATCAGACATGGTGTTTTTCTTCATTTTTCTCCATGTTCATGTGTCGCATTTTTCTATTTTCTTGCTTCATACTTGTTTATTCAAATTCTTATAATAATATGTTTATGCTGTAGGTTTTGAGAAGCCATCTGCCATTCAGCAAAGGGGAATTGTTCCCTTCTGTAAGGGACTTGATGTGATTCAACAAGCTCAATCTGGAACTGGAAAGACAGCAACTTTTTGCTCTGGAATTTTGCAGCAACTTGACTATGGCTTGATGGAATGCCAGGCTTTGGTCCTAGCGCCAACTCGAGAGCTTGCACAGCAAATTGAGAAGGTTATGCGAGCACTGGGAGATTATCTTGGTGTAAAGGTTCATGCATGTGTAGGAGGAACCAGTGTCCGCGAAGACCAACGCATTCTCTCTAGTGGTGTTCATGTTGTTGTCGGTACCCCTGGCCGCGTATTTGATATGCTGCGCAGGCAGTCACTTCGGCCAGATTGTATCAAGATGTTTGTATTGGATGAGGCTGATGAGATGCTCTCAAGAGGTTTCAAAGATCAGGTCCTTTTTTTACTTTTATTGTTGTTTTCATTTTTATATTATACTGTTGTATACTCGTGCATAAAATCCCACCTGGATTAAGTTGTGGCTGATAAATCAATTTTTTATGCTGTTTGTCAATTTTGAGTATGCAAATTATTTTGGGTCTAGAATTCTAGCACTTGGTTTTTCCCCCCTTTCCCTTTTCTTTGGGGAATGCATGCAAGCTTGTTTTGTTTATTAGTTAACGGTTGGTTTTGCTGTTATCAGATTTACGATATATTCCAGTTGCTGCCAAGTAAAATTCAAGTGGGAGTTTTCTCTGCCACAATGCCTCCAGAGGCCCTGGAGATCACAAGGAAATTTATGAACAAACCTGTTAGGATCCTTGTGAAGCGTGATGAGCTCACCTTGGAGGGTATAAAGCAGTTTTATGTCAATGTAGAAAGGGAGGAGTGGAAGCTGGACACACTGTGTGATCTTTATGAAACATTAGCGATCACTCAGAGTGTTATTTTTGTGAACACCCGAAGAAAGGTTGATTGGCTCACTGACAAGATGCGAAGCCGAGACCATACAGTATCAGCAACCCATGGAGATATGGACCAGAATACTAGAGACATCATCATGCGTGAATTCCGTTCTGGTTCTTCTCGTGTTCTGATCACAACAGATCTCTTGGCACGTGGTATTGATGTCCAGCAAGTGTCCCTAGTTATTAACTATGATCTCCCAACACAGCCGGAGAACTATCTCCATCGTATTGGTCGTAGTGGTAGGTTTGGAAGGAAAGGTGTTGCCATCAACTTCGTGACAAAGGATGATGAAAGAATGCTGTTCGACATCCAGAGGTTTTATAATGTGGTGATAGAGGAGCTGCCATCAAATGTTGCTGAACTCCTCTAATGAATTTTGGTCTTGCATTAGTATTAGAACATAGTTGGATTCTGTTTGGTAAGTGATGTAATATTTCTTTTTTGTTTTTTTTCCCTCCTTCCTGTTCAATTTCTACTTGCAAACCTTATTTAATGGTTCTGGTAATTTAATTTAAATTCAGTTGTCTGAATGTCCACGAGATAGTTCTTGCACTATGTGGCCGTTGTTACACATTTTTTGGCTGGCAATTTTCTCTCATAGGTTTTTATTTTTATTAAAGGTAACATGCGTTGAGGTTGTTTAATTTTTCTACTTATACCATCTCCCTCACTGAGTGTAGTGTGCATGCAATGTCTATGCTTTTGCTTCATAATATTTCAATCACCTGAAAGTTCTCATCAACGTCATGAGCTTGTTGGGAAAGCCAATTAGTAGAAGAGGCGACCTCCCTAAAATCATGATTTTTGATGGAGATGTCTTGCATCAGGTCATATTTCAGGAGGGAAGCCCTTAAATAATATCTTTTTGTTCAGACTATTTCTATTTACTTCGAACTTCCCCGGCAAATGTGGGACAGAAGCGGGTTCCATAACCTTCTGTAATGAAGTATGCATGGGAACTGTATAGTAACTTTCAGGATTTAAGCTTCTTGAGAGGTGGACTTTCTTGGATTTTGACCCTTGTGCATTTCTGCCCTTTTATTGGAGAAATTACAAAATGCTCTTCTCACCTTCTGCTTGAGAATGTTGATTTTTTTCTATTTATAAGGTTTATCATTTTTTTATATTTGTTTTTACTTTTTTGCTTTTGTTAAATGCTGAAAAAGTTATTAAAAACAATTCTTTATATTCTTATTAAAGGTAAATGTGAAATTTTGTTAAATTTTAAAATAAGAATTAAGTTTTTTTTAATAAAACATGTTAAAAAATAATTTATAATAGAATACAATTTATAAAGTGAGATTAGGCTTTTATTTGCTCTCATCCTTGCCTGGAGTGTGTTAGTGAATGACATAGCAAGCACCTAAAATGAACTAATAAGAAATGAAAATCTTATTTTTTTTTGTTTTAATATATTTTATTGAAATTAAAAAAATTAAAACTTATTAATTCCATTTAAAAATTTAATAAATTTTTAAACTTATTTTTATTAAATATATATATTTTAATAATATATTTTTTTTATAATAGTTAATGTAAGTTAAATGAAAAAATTACAATAAAAATTTAATGAAATAATTTTTAAATAGAATTAAAAAAAATCTCTTTGGAGAAGGCAATATTTTGAGTCATCTTATCCCTATATGAGATCTAGTGGGTCTATATTGATTATAGTTCAGCGATTGTTGCTCAAAAGAAGAAAAAAAAAGTAGGTTGAAATGTCTGTTCCTTTAGTACTTTTATATATAAAAGATCTTTTAAAATTTTTTTATTTTTAAATATAAAAAGTTGTTAGTATTTTTTTAATGAATAGAATTATAACTTTATTAAATTAAAAAGAGAAAAAAAAAATACTCTCATTAATTTATTTTAAAAAAATTTATTTTTTATTTATAATAATTAAATGTAAAATTAAAATATTATTATACTTTTAATTAAATAATTAATTTTTATTAATTTATATAATTTAATTAAAAATATTTATATATAAAAATGGAAGTAGTCCGCAGGCAAAGGAGAATAATGAAGGCTTTTTATTTATTAATTTAGGCAGTAATTTATCTAGAACCGTTAGATAGCTTTAACGGTGCAGATGGCATAGTGGACAGTAATGGGGGGAATCTACTTCTTCCTGGAATTTGGACCGAAACGACTGAATGACAATCAAAGACGTGTAAGGAAGGGCCAATATACTATAAACGACAATCCTAAATGTTGTCGTTGCCACCATAAATGGATAGTTAATCATAAATGCTGTCATTTTGCCCCCAGTAATGAGCAATAAAGGAGACAAACGGACCAAAATCTTGCTACATTACTGCCGTGTCAACTCATTTAATTCAAGCTGGCCAACAGCACAAGCATAGTTTAAAAAAAAAAATTAAAATAATAAAACTTTTAATTTTTTTTAAGTTTGTTTTAGTTTTTGATTTGGTATGTTAAATTTAATTTTTATTGATTTGATCTTTTACATTTTTTTAAATTATTACATTAGTTCTTATATCAGTTTAATTTTGATTAATATAGTCCATTATGTTACATTTTATTTTTGTTTGTTTTTAAAAATATAAGTTTTCTTTTTTTATTTAAATAATTGCATTTCTTTTCATTAATCTACAATGCTTCTATAAATATTTTATTATCCGTGTAGGTAAATTTTAATAGTGTTATTTTCTTTTTAAATAATAAATACCACATTAATAATTGAAGTAAATTTAAAGAACCACAACAATAAAAATTAAACTCAAGAATTAAATGAATAATTGAGACAAACTTGATGGATTAAGATGGACTAAGAATTTCATTATCTCAAAGTTAATGCTTTTGTGATCAATTATTGATTCACGTTTTATTGATATGACTGCAATCAAACCATGCTTACACTGCACTTTCTAATTAATAATTTATGAAACATCAAATTAGCTGGACATATTTTCAAATCATCCCTTGTCACTTCTAACCTTTCAGAAGAGAATTTTTTGACTCTTTTGCATAATTTCCAACATCAAAAGCATTAATAGGAGCATTTTATTCTATTTTTTTGTTCAAAAACTTGTTAAAAAAACATTTTTGCAACTTCTGATACTCGAGACAAAGCTATTATCACATTATTTTGATGCTACTTCATTTCTAAGCACACATTGAAACACATACATCTTTTTCCCTCAATTTCCAACTCTAGTCTTTTATTAATTTCCCAAATTGAAGGTCTTGAACAACAACAATAATATTTTGTGTCCTTATAATTTTATCATATCTTATGATTGGTTTTTATATATATTTTTTAATGTTTCAAGATTCTTTATTTTTTTTTTCATATGTAACGTTAGTTCCTTTACTTTTAAATATTCTTAAGGGAGCGATGATATAGTACTAACAATGTTAAATTACTTGAAGTGTACTTAACAATGATAAATCTTGTGCTAAATGTTAAAATAATGATAGATGTCGAAAAAAAAAAACAAGAAGAAAGGGCAAAGATTTACATGACTTAAGCATCATATGTGGAACTTTCAAGCTATTTAATTTGTTTAAAAAAATTGATGAAGGTATTTGACATGTAAGAGTAAAAAGTTTAGCCCATAATGACGAGAAATCACTTTTTAACATTGACAAATGCTATTACCAAAATCATCTTAATTAAAAAGCATCGTCAACTTATTTCAATTTAAACATTCAGCATCTTCATTAATACAGTTAGTTATATGTTAGATAATTTAACACAAATAGAGCCATATCATCGTCTCTTGGGAAAAATTTAAAAGCAGGGGGCTAACATAGCATACGAAAAAAAAAAACTTGAAGCAATGAAAAATATATATTGGAACAAATAATAAAATATGATAAAATTACATGTTGTGTCTTTCCTAATAGCTTTTTAGAGGTGCTCAATTATTTTTTTTTTCCATTTATTATTTTACTAATATATTTTACATCCAAAAAGTGGATAGTTTTCTCAAGATGATTTCTTGACTAAAGAAAAAAAAAAGATTGGAATCTTGACTATTCTAATGCTAATCCATATCCCATATCTTGGCACTTTACTTTATAGTTATCATCAATTATTAAGTACGCCGAACTTGATTTCTTGTAAATAGGGGTTAGATGGTTATAGTATATTTTAATTTTTTTAATTTTATATAAAGTTTTAATTTAATTTCTTAATTTATAAATTATATTTTTAATACCATAACTCTTACACTGTTAGTTTCAAATGATTATTTTTTATACCAATTATTTTTATTTTAAAAAAATTAAACTTAATAATGAAAATTTAAAAATGTTTTCTTAATAGTTAAAAATTTAATGTATTTTTTTTTGGTAATAAAAATAACAGCTTTAAAATTAAATGATTAAATATATACAAATATTGAAATTTTAACTATTTTAATACTAATCCATATTTCATATCCCATAAAAAGTTGACACCTTACTTTAGGTATCCTCATTTATTAAGCACAATGAACTTTGTTAGATATGACATTTTATTGATAATTCTGTCAAAAATTTGATGCAAAAACTTGATGTCCAGCATTGAAGCCACGCAAAAATGAAGCGCGCCTGTTTGGTTACAGTTATGACAGTAACGGTCACGGCGGGTCACGTGTCAACTGTCAACGAAACGGTGAAACTTATCCCACTCCTCCGAACAGAATCTAAAACTCGCAATTGTCAAAAGCCCGACCAGGCCATGCTCCTTCGCTCATGATTACAGGAACATCTACAGTCTCTCTTCTCAACTCTTTCTAACTTCCAAAGCCTTTCTTTATTCATCAAGATCGCGATTCGCAACCTAACCTTCTATATATGTATGTATATATATTCTTTCCCTCCCTCCATTTTCAGTTAATAATCACACTTGCTTTTTTTTGTTGGTTCTGTGATGATTATGTTAATGAGGAATTAATAAACAAATTCTGCGGTTGGTAGTAGTAATGGTCGTTTGCTCTTCGCCGATGGTGAAATCGGAAGTGCATGAGAGTGAGGACGCCTCTGGTGGGGCCAAGAACGATTGGGACACCCTCCGCCGTTCTATTTTGCGCCGGAGGCCATCTGTCGGAGGCTTGTTTGACTATTCGTCGCTACAACGAGACATTCCTGAGGAAGATATGGTTAGAGATTCCAGCTCGAAGGATTTCGTCGCCACCGCCGCCAAGAGCGTTGAGGAAGATAAGGATCGCGTGAAGGCGGACAACGCGGCTGTTAATGCGAATCGAGAAAAAGCGGTGGACATCTCTGCGCTGAAATTCCTTTACCGTCCATCGGTTCCAGTTCATAGGACAGTGAAGGAAAGTCCGCTTAGCTCCGATAAAATCTTCCATCAGGTTGTGGCAGTTAATTCTCGCGCTGTTTGTTAGTTTAGAACTAATGGTTCAGGTTTAGTTGGTGGTCAACGGTTTAGTTGAGAGCACTTTTGATTGGCTTTAATGTTCTTTGACAAAGGAATCGCTTTCTTCTTTTCACTCCATCGAACTGTTATTCAACATGCAGTATTGACGGCGTAATGACGGACAATGTTGAACAGTTTTAACGCATGAATAGATTGCCAAAACTAGCTCCTATGCTTAACTAAAGTGATTATGTGATTGCTTTTGCTCAGAAGTCGATAATCTGATCAGTTTTTACATCAAGAGGGAAAAACCATGTTTTACAACCTACTGAATGAACCTAGTGTCCTATGACTCATCATTTGGGCTGATCTTTCTTGTTATATTACCAAAAAATAAATTTTATATTGCTTAATCATCGATTGCAGAGTCATGCGGGCCTTTTGAATCTCTGTATAGTAGTGCTTGTTGCGGTGAACAGCAGACTTATAATTGAGAATTTAATGAAGGTTTGACTCTTTCATTTGTTCCCGATATTCATACTGATGTATAATTGTGCGTTCACCTACGGAGCTTTTCCTTCACAGTTCAATGCAGTTAATTTTTTTCCGTCTAATTTCGCCCTTCTTTTCTTTCTTTCTTTCTTTTCTTCTTTTCTTTTCTTTTTTTGCAGTATGGTTTGTTGATCAAGTATGGCTTTTGGTTTAGCTCAAAATCATTGAGAGATTGGCCGCTCTTCATGTGTTGGTAATGATTTTGATGAATTCACTAAAAAATAAATATGCATTGAATAAATTGCCAAGAATTACTTCTTCAAATATTGTTTGCCATTATGTAACTAAAGTTGTGCTTCCTCTACAGTCTTACACTTGCAATATTTCCAATTGCTTCGTATTTGGTGGAAATTCTTGCACAACGAAAGCAAATATCTGAACCAGTAAGTCTGTGGACAAGTTAGCTTATGTTATGTCACAAAGGAAAAAGATATTGTGAAACCAAATGAATTCCTTTTTTGTCATATAACTTATTGCTTTTTCTGGATATGGTTAGTTGTAGTGTCATTTTTTCAATCAAAACATCTCATCCTAACTTTACTACATACATTTTGGTTGCAGGCTATTATCTCATTTCATATATTCATTACAACTGCTGCAGTCTTGTATCCAGTCTTAGTAATCCTCAGGTCCATATCATTATTTCATTTGAAGTTCAAAATTGATTCTAGAGCTTGAATTTAAACTTGCTCTTCATTTTCTCAGTGGAAGTGAGCTAAGTTGGTAAATTTCCTCTAATTAGGAAACTTTGGTCAATGTGAGCATTTTGGATGGATTATTGTTGTAGCATATGATAAGGGATACAGTCCTCTGATGAATTAATGTTTGAAACACATAAGGACAAGCCAACCCAAAAAATTGAAAACAATTAAGTTGCTTCCTTATCCATATTGGTGATTTGGTATATACAAGCAGCCTTGCCAATTTTTTTTTTTTTTGGACCGACAGCATGACCTGTTGAAACAAAATATGAAATCGTATCATCTGCCAAATGAGTTCATTTAACAGCCATGTGACATTTACTGATCCTTAAAGTATCATCTGCCAAATGAGTTCATTTAACAGCCGTGTGACATTTACTGATCCTTAAATAACTATGAGAACATTCAATTCCTTGCTTGCATACTGAAAATGATTACCAAATTAGTGGCTTCATTTGTGCCTGTTTTGATTTGCTTTATCTGGGATATGGTGAAGACGTCCATGTGATGATAAAAAAATTGTATTGAATTTAATCAGCTACAAAATTAAAAAGAAAACAAAACCCTACTTGACTAAGATGCTTGACCATATCAGTCATGTGGTTGTAGTATAATGATTTGTTGTTTTTCCCTCGCAGGTGTGATTCAGCAATTTTATCAGCTGTCACATTGATGTTATTTGCTTGCAATGTGTGGTTAAAACTGGTATCCTATGCGCATACAAACAGTGATTTAAGAGCACTGAGCAGATCAATTGAAAAGGTAGCATCAAAGGTCTGTTTGTATGTTTCTAGATAACCATTACAGAACGTTGTTTTCTGTAAAATGAAAAATATTAAAATTAAGATGAAAACATGTTTATCACATCCCATCAGTTTTTGCTACTGTTTTCCCTCCTTTATATCCAGCATGATTAAACCGTACTTTAGATTCCTGCACTACTAAGATATAATCACATGTCACAACACAATATTTGCGATGCATTTATAAGAAACACAACCAGCTTGCTTTCTCCAATATTCCTTTGGTATTTCTGGGTGCCTACACATTAGAATAATCTCTTCTTTTTTGTGAGTGATGGATAACTGTATTTCCCCTTATCCAAAATGTTCCCTTTGCTATAGGGAGAGGAATCACCCAATAATTTGAAAATGGAGTATTCTTATACCGTAAGCTTCAAGAGCTTGGTTTACTTCATGGTTGCTCCTACATTGTGTTACCAGGTATTGGCATTTCTAAATGATCTATATATATATATATATATATTTGTATATGTATATGTGGCACAAAAATTTTGTCCATATTTTACATTTGACTTTGACTTCACTTGTGGATATTTGCTTCCATCGTTATCTCACAGAATGGATGGATGGCACTACCATGAAGATATTTTTACACCTATATCTTTGGCTTCAAATTTGCATAGGAAGTTCTGGCATCACTTTTTATGTACCACATCATTTGCACCACATATGTAGATAAGTGCATGCTGACTGTGATATTGCTATATCATCTTAGTAATTACTGTAATTTTATCACTTGCTTGTACCATGTACCTTAGGTAAAAATTTTCATGTGGATTAATTTGATCAGTTATCACTGACTACAGTTCCACAAAAGGGGCTCTGTCCCCACCCCCTCCCTCTCCCCTCACTAACATGTAAACCAATTTTACCATTTCTGATGCTTTTTGAAAATACTGAGCTTGTTTTTTGTTTTTTTTTTCTTTGTCCTTTGAAAAAATTCACAGGTTACACATACTTCAATTTGCTCTTGATACTTACTTTTCATTAATGAATTTTTGCTGTTGACTTCATTCTGCATTTATCTACACCCAATGCAACTGCACATAAATTTCATTTGTCAATTATTTTTGTTATGGGGGTAATCGTCCTGATGTTATTCTCACTCACACATACATTCTACTCTGTTATCTCCAATGCAATGGTTTGCTGTTATAGCCAAGCTATCCTCGCACACCTTCCATACGAAAGAGATGGGTGTTTCGCCAAGTTGTTAAACTGATAATATTCACCGGAGTCATGGGGTTTATAGTAGAACAAGTAAGCAGTAATTGTTCATAAGTTTGGCATACTATCACGCATCCTTTTTTTCTCTAGTTTCTTTTATGTAATTCTAAAAATATTCTGACATTGGTTTGGTGATATAATTCTGCAGTATATTAATCCAATTGTTCAGAATTCTCAACATCCTTTAAAGGGAAACCTTCTATATGCCATCGAGAGAGTTCTGAAGCTTTCTGTTCCAAATTTATATGTGTGGCTCTGCATGTTCTACTGCTTTTTTCACCTTTGGTATGTATTCCATTTTTGTTGTAGTCTAGATGTATGTTAGTACTACCTCATGCAATTTAACATGCTGTCTTCTTTCCCCCATATTTTGAAGGATTTTAGTTTATAGTAAAATGTTCAGATTTTGAAGAAGATGCACTAGAAATCATGGAACCTTCACTTCTTTGCTCTAGCAATTCTCACATGACTATTTTAAGTGTTTGCAACTTATTGATCCATTAAGCTTTCTCAGAAATTTTAAATGATACGCACCTTTCCGCTCAGCCATCCGAATAACCACTGCATTGATGGTAAAATCTAAGATTTTTTGCATGTTGATACTATGTTGTCTGAAGTACATGCTCCTTAACATGTGTCTTTGTGGAATCTATTTGCTGCACCACCCGTGTTTTCTTTAATTGGTTCTCGGAGGGATGGTAGAGGTTTATTGTGTCAATGAGTTTGTATGTTATTTCCATGTGAATATTTTATCCTCCTGCGACTTGTAAAACTTGTTTCTCCTCTTTTTCGTTTCTTATTTAATTACAAAGGTCTGTTTTTTTTTCTTTTTGTGCACACATGCACTTAAGTACTTGTCTTTTTTTTTTTTATGTCAATGTTATTAGCATTTATTTTGGAGACATTTTATGCTTGCAAGCAATGTTGCAATGCAGGTTAAATATTCTCGCAGAGCTTCTTCGATTTGGTGATCGTGAATTCTACAAAGATTGGTGGAATGCCCAAACTGTTGAAGAAGTAGGTTATTTGTCATAAAATATTGATGTTATGTTCATTCTAGAAAGGAAATGACATGTTTGTTTTTGTTGATTGAATTTGTGCTGCTGCTGTCATCAGTATTGGAGAATGTGGAATATGGTAGGTTTCTATGTCTGTAAATATTTGATAATTTTAAAGACTTAGATAGTGGCTATGTATTTTATGGTTGATTTGTTTCCTTATTTTCCTTGCATGTTGAGTCTAAATCCAGCTAATATGAGTTGAACTAGTCTACTTTGATCTTGAAAATTTTGTTTGTAAGTACTTTTATGTCATTTAAATTCTTGTAAATTTTGAGAAATTGAGTCTCGCATCTAGTCTCATAAAAATTTGTGAGTAAACGAAGATTTTGGTTTTAAACACAATCTCAATTGTAACCCTTAATTCCTTTTTGTTTATTAACATAAAAGAAAGATTATCTTGCATTAAAACTTGGGGTAAATATTGATCAGTTTTAATTTCCCACAAAAGGGACTAGGGTAAACGATATAAAAGAACAACTTAATTAATCCATTACTGTAAACAACACCTTATCCATCTATTTAACTTATATTTACATGCATGTTATTCAATGAGCAAATCATTCAACTCATACTTCCAGTTTTGGTTAAAGTGAGATTGCAAGCTGATTGCCATGCCAATAGGATCAACGGTTGGCTACTTTATTGAAGGCTCTGTAAACATAGAAATGAAGAGAAGTTACATCTTCGAACCTTCTACTGCTTAATGAGTGGTTCTAAAACCATGATAGTAGATATCAGCAGTTATTTTTTGGCACTGTTCTAATCCAGTACTATGTAACTGTGGGAATTCTTTCTGACCACAGCCTGTGCACACATGGATGGTCCGGCATCTATATTTTCCATGCTTAAGGCATGGCATACCCAAGGTGATCTGTTCTTTTTCAGCTTACAGTCTGAACTTATATTTCAAATATGTTTTCATTTGTCTGAAAAGCTTTTCATTTATAGTCACTCTATGTTCACCATCTCATTTTGCCTTGCCCTATTTATTTTGATTATTATCGAATTGAAATGGGGGTTGGTGTGTGGGTGTGTGTGTGTGAAGCATGATATGATATGTCTTTTGATGGACTGATTGTATTTGTGATATGTTTGAAGAATTAAAGTATGGATAACGTTCTCTAATCGTATTGAATAAGATAATGTTTACTGTTTAATCCAAACAGAAAAATATGCAGATTCGAATGTATTTTCTACATATTTCAACATGGGAGAGCAGCTGAATTAATTTGTTTTCTTCATGTTCTACAACCTTCTAGTTTTTCTTCCCGCTTTTTTTCCTAGCATATCCGTTATTAATGGAGTTGTTTCTCATTGGCTGATGTTTGGGTCTTGCATTGTTAATGGATGTGTTGCTTTTATGATTTCTAAGCATATAGTAATAGGCATGTAATCCATGTTGTTCAGGGTGTTGCTGTTCTGATTTCATTTTTTGTATCTGCTGTGTTCCATGAGGTATGCGACTCATCTTTCTCTTCCTCTTTTGACCTTATGTTCTAAAGGCTATTCTACTTGTCTGCATGATGCGTTGTTAAGAGTTGGGGAGAGTGCCAATGTCTTCAATTATCACATTATCCTACTTTCTAATTTCAATTTCTTTATTTTCTGCTGTATTTGGCTGGATAATTGGAGACGCTAAGTAGAGAAGGTATTTGGAGAGAGACGAAATCAAATTAAGAAAGAAAGAAAGGAGGGATGGTCATTTCATGTTGTGGGAGTGATAGGAAGGAAAACTCATTTTTTAATATGATGGTAACTAATAAATAGCCATTTGTTTGATATCACTGCAAACTTATTATGAAGTATAGTTCCCCTTGCTCCCAAATGAAGTATATACTTATTATGACGTATAGCTCCCCTTGCTCCCAAATGAAGTAAATATGCAGGTATTATTCCCTTGTTTATTTATAAAGACACCTGATCAATTCAGCTCATGACTTCTTCATCTGGTGCAGCTCTGCATTGCCGTTCCCTGCCACATATTCAAGTTGTGGGCTTTTATTGGAATCATGTTCCAGGTAAAGAGGCCTCTGCCCCCCCCCCTCCCACACCACACCCAAAGGAAAAAAATCTTTTCTTGAAAGAAAAGGATGAAGTCATTTTAATTTTTTTGTTCTTCCATGACCAAAAGAAAAGAAGGTTTGTTCTCTTTAGGGAGAATTATGTTTAGATTCTCCACGGCACAATTCAATAAAACAAGGTGACAACTATTTTGCTATGCTAACTTATCCATGGACTTTGTGATATTTAATTGTGTTGTGAGGGGCTTAGGTGTAATTCTCTCTCTTTTTTTGTGTTGAATCTTTGCTAGATTATTTGTTTTTACTGGTAATGGTGCCATCTTTATTTTAGTTTCGCTCGCTTGACACTAGTATTTGTATTTTTCGTTTTTTAGGTTCCTTTGGTCTTGATCACCAATTACCTGCAAAATAAGTTTACAAACTCTATGGTGCGTCTCTGACACCTATTTAATCATTCTGGTCCATCAATATTACAAGCACACATGTCCGTAACTCAACTTGATTCATTGCTATCGTTTTTTTTTTTTTTGGCAGGTTGGAAATATGGTTTTCTGGTTCATATTCAGTATTCTTGGTCAACCAATGTGTGTACTATTATACTACCATGACCTGATGAACAGGAATAAGGGAATTGACTAAGCTAGCATTCCATGCACGTGAATGATGAGCTTTTCACTTCCATAGAGTGAAATTGTAGACCTCTGGCCCTCCTTTTATCTTTTGGCAATATATTTACTCTGGGCTCCATGTAATTTGAAGCTTCTTTGCGGTAATCTCATCTTTTGATCTCCGCAGCGTTTCTTCTGAACTCAGCTTGATCTGCCAATTTTGCCTATAAATGCACTTAGGCAAATTTGAAGGTAATGGAAAGAACTAAAGTGGCTGTGCAAGTGGTATTCATTCACCACTAACGGTGAAGTTGTAAATTCCTTAACTTCAGTATCTTCGTTTTGTTATGATTGCCAAATTCTCCTGATAAATAATAAATAACGGCGACATGTTACAAGAAACATTGCCCAAAGACTAGATAATGAAAGATTTGCAATATCTTTTACTAATGAGAGTCTTGGGGTGGACCAGTCACCATTAAAAACAGCTTTAAAAGCCACCACCTCAGTCATTAACGATGAGATTGTCTTGTCAACGGTAGGTAGTTGAAACATTACCTTTCTCACTTGGAAAAGGTCTCTGAGTTAAGCCCATAGTTGATGCGTTTGTGTGCGTGGGTATGCGGGTGTCTTTCTTTCTTATTAAAAAGGGCTAGGTTAAGGGTAATGTCGAAGGACCATTAATGACGAGAAGGCAAAGTTTTGGGGAATGGGGGGATTGATTTGGAAAAAAAAAATAGAAAATGGACTTTCTATGTTCTAAAACCGAAGTCACTAACTTTTCCTACTCCTAGCGCCAGAAGGATAAGGATTACGGGTGCATGTTTAAATTCATTTTTATAAAGATTCAAATCTTAAAATATTATTTTTTTTTTTTTGAGAAATCAAGCTTTGAAATTGAACACTGATAAACTTTAAACTTTGAAATTACTTGTTTAAGGTGCCTTTTTAGACTTTTTTTGGCTTTATCCTTCAAAAATGAATATTTTTAATTTTTAAGTTGAATTTAAATTTTATAATATATATTTATACTTTGAAATTAGAATTATTATTATTTATTTTTAATTTTTAAATATTATAATTTATATTTAAAAATATGAAATATTATAATTAAAAGTTTTAATTTTTTTAAATGGAAAAAAGTAATAAATAATAAAAACTGACTTACGGATTTAACTCTAAACCTTTTAAATAAAAGTTGGGTTTTAAAAAATAATTAATTTTAAGGTAATTAAGTTTATGACTTGAACTTATAAGAGTTTAGCCTTGCCCCTCCTGTAGAGTTTCAACATGTTGAAAACCTTTATCAATGTTTTTTGTCCTTTCGTATTCTAATTTTAATTATTGTAAACCAACATCAAATGGAAAAAATCGTCTTTCATGGCCGATTGAATTTTGTTATTCTAATTCCGCGTTCTTGCTTACCATCTCGTGGAGCACACCTTACGAGGTGCTAATTGCAAAACCAGGCTGCTGTTGCGTTTTGCATTTATAGAGACTGGATTTGGTGACAACCTTCCTTGTTTGACAATGTGATTGAGGTTTTTTTAACTACTTTTTTATTTTAAAATGAATTTTTTAAAAAAATATAGTTATCCAATAATTTAATTCAGTTATATTTTTATTTAAAAATTATTAGTTTAAATACTTATTTTTGTATAAAAATTTAAATAGAAGATATTTTTGTTAGAGTTAAAGACTGTATTTATCTTTAAGTTACTTTTGAAGGAGTATTGAGTATTATATACTATAATATAATGTGGTGTAAAGTAATCCATTCATGAACTAAAAAATATATTCTTTTCGTTTAAAAATGTAAGATATTTTTTAAGAAGTTGAATATTTAAAAATGTAAAGTATTTTTAATCTTTTAAGGTGTAATCATTATCTTTTTTTAAAAGTACTCTCATTGTTGAATAAATTTTTATTTATTATAGGGTATTTAATGAGAATAAATATGAAAAGATAAGTTAGTTTAAAAATAAATAATTATTTTATTAAAAAGCAATGTTTTATTAAAAATATTTTATATTTTTTAATAAAAGAAGTAGCAATTATACCCTTCCGTTCATTTGCCTTGAGCATACGTCTACTCAAATATTTGAAATCCACGTTGATTTAGCAATCTCAATAATCTTAGCTGTCTTCGTTGCCCAATTTAATACTAGTAGGGAGGGATAACATTCAAAAAATTAACAACCATGTAATTATTTTATAATATGTAATATTAAAAAAATTATATACTTGACTTTATATATTTAAAGTACTTGTTTTTTATTAAATTAAAATAAATATATTTTTTATAAATTATTTATTGTAACATAAATCCTTATCATTAAAATTATCAATATATGAAAAATATATTTTTTATTTAATTATATAAAAAGATATTAAGTAAATAATGCTAATTACATCAGTCTTGTCACTTAAGATTAAATAAAATGTTAAAATTTGGTCCCAATAGTTAGCTTAGGAGAGCAGCAGTAAATAAGTGAATATGGGAGTAGATATGAAATTATAAACTAAATATGACTAGTTTATAATATGAGAGTAGATACTTTTAATATTATATTTTTTGATGAACTAATTATAAAAATTGTATAATTTTAAATATGATTAAATTTTAATTTTTTATACAGTTTTACTGTGACCTTATAATTTAAAAAAAAATTATAAACTAGACGACAAGACGAAATGCTATTCTCTATGTGAGGAACATGGACCGACGCAAAACCGAAAGAAAGCGCCCTTCTGAAAGTCAAAACTGAATAAATTTTTCTTCGCTGAAAATTAATTCATACCAAACAAAGCGAAGTAGAAGCTGCTTTCGCAGAACCCCATTCGGACAAAGTAGAATCTTGACCCTCTAGGCCGGAGGGTTTTGAATTCTGGGCGTCTCCATGGAAAATTTCAGATCCAAATCGTACGCTGATGGGAGGTATCAAATTGAGAGCTACACCGGCACCGGAACTGCTTCCACCGGCGGCTTCCATGGCATGCAAGATCTCCGTTGCTACAGTGCTTCATACTCATCCTCTGTTCCTCCTTCAACCACCCAAAACCAGATTGGGGTCAACGATGTGAAGTTCAAGAAGGGCAAGTCCACTAATAGTTCCTCTTCCAAAAACTGGAGCATCAGTGATCCAGAGTTGCAGAGGAAGAAGAGGGTTGCTAGTTACAAGGTTTATACTGTTGAAGGTAAACTTAAAGGGTCTTTCAGGAAGAGCTTCAAGTGGCTCAAGGACAGGTACACTAGAGTTGTGTATGGATGGTAGTGATTGCTAGTTCTGAGGATCTCAGGTTGGTGTTTTGATCTTTGAAAAGGACCATAATCCCTCAATTGGCTGTCTTATTATATATTTGTTTATCTGCTGATCACAGTTTATTTCCGAGTCTGCAAGTATAAATATTTAATGTAATGTGGTTGATAAATTGTCAAGTGTTCACCATGGATTCTATTAAGAGGGTAATCATCTTGTTTACTCCCGGAAGGATTGGCATGGCTGTCTGTGATGGTATTTTGTGAAGGCCAATTTCCTGTTACATTAACTTCTCAATTTCAATTTAATGCATTATCAATAAATCTGTCTATATATATATATAATAGATCTGTTCTGCATTATTCACAAGTCATAAACCGTGTATCTCATTCCTTAGACTTGATGTATTGCTTAGAGAAATGAGGTCTAATTGTTTTATTGAAACAATGCATTCATTGTTACCCATAGATGCCGATCATGTAACTAAACTGTAACCAATGTGACTCAAGATGAATGCATACCTTGGTACTTGTAATCCTCCTATTAAGGTCTTCTATGGCATTTTTACTTTTCTGCACAAAAATGTTGTGGCTGGAAAATAAAGATATTACCATTGTAGATGACATGTTTTCTGGAGGTTCAGGGGACTTTTGCTGGAAAAGAAGTCTCTACTGAAAAACAAAAGAGTAATTGGACTTACTATTGCATTTTTGGTTAGTGAATTTGAAAGTGGTTTAATATTGTGGAGGCTATCATTACAGTTTTCACAATTGCTATTTATCCTTAACAAATAGTTTCAGGTTTAGTATGTGCATCCCTTAAACTTGCCTGTTCTCAGTAACAAACTTGCCAGCAAAATTTTGGACTTTCGTATGTCAGCCATCTAGTGTTGACCAAGGCACAAGCTAACAGATAAATTTCACTGTCCATAGAACAATGATTGATCATAGGATAATTGCTCTTGGCTAAAGGATTTTGCAGTGGCAAGTGCTCATTTGTGCGTAATAGAATTATCTTGAGCTTGTTTCGATGCGTGTGTTTATGAGGTCAAGAAGATCTTCAATTTTTGTGATGGACACCTAAGGGGTTAGGAGCCCTTTTATTTTTGCATATTGCAACCATTATCCTAGGCCTTCCCAACCCGAGTCGAAAGGATTTAATGAGACCCAGACTAATCTTGACTGAATACTTGTGAGATCTTCATATAGCAAGCTCTCCTATATTTTAATATGGCTTCATTCTCAAAACTTGAACTTGAGACCTTTGGTTAAATTGATGTAACTCCTTTATCAATTGAACCAAGTGTGGAGTGGTGGGGTTAGGCTTTCCTCAAAAACCTTCGAAGCAGGAGAATCAATTCGCTTAAATATTTCATGAGGTAGCTCATATCACTAAATGTCAGTAGGACTAAGCATCCAACATAGCCTTAGTCTCCATCAGTTGGCCATCCTTAGAGTTTGGCAGCCCCACTATATGACACGTCTCTGCTTGCTCACATGCTGATCCAAGTCCTCCATTGATCTATTTAAACCCTCTACATGCAATCTTCTTCGAAAACAGTCAACCATCAACTCTGATACCAATTAACGCATCATGAAAAACTCTCCCTAGAAAGCTATATATTAAGTTGGAAAAACCAACCCACTCAAGTATAAACATAACGTAGCCATACTACTCAATGTGTCTCTGAAGATTTACCTTGGTTTCTATCAATTTGTCCCTGCAAAACAAGTGTAAATGTTATCAGCTGAATATTATTATCCAGACAATTTTCCAGATAACATTATCAGCTGCATTTCCTTCCATTATTTGTGCCTATTTTACATTTCTTCGATCTTTTCATTGGAAATATGCTTTATTTCTCTCGTGTTCACAATTGCAACATTTATAGATAACAATTCTGAAAGTAGTTTATAAACCTGTAGTAACTGATCACTTATTTAGGAAGAAACATGCATGTTGATGGAAATTTATACTAATACATCTCATATAGCACATTATCAAAGAATGACAACGTATCTACAAAGTCCTGTTTAATTCTTGTAACAAATCGAACTCATTGAGGTGACAACCCTTTTTCTAGGTTCTTTATAACTTTCATACTCTGTGAATGTACAAGTTTTAAATTCCTGTGCAGCTATCTGCGTTTCATTGATTTAGTTATGAGAAAAGTATTGCTTCATTTGTCACTGGAACAAGAGAGGAAGATTCATGAAGTGACAGTTTGGAAAGTATAGGTTCCTTTGTTATTCTTTGTGGTGCAATGAATTTTAGAAAAGCTGGTGAAGTTTTTTTTGTCCAAAAAACAAAAAAAGCTGGTGAAGTTTGAAACAATACCTTGACAGATGCCATTAGGAGGAAGAATGGAGAATCATTGTAATTTTTTTCCGGACATTTAATTTGCATCAAACATAGTCACATTCAAAACATGCGTATACTAGCTGATAACGTTGTACCTGAAAATTTGCACTTCTGATCTCACTCGACATTGCTTGGAAAGTTGGAATACCCAGAAATCTCAAATATGGAAGTCGTTATAAAAATTTGTAATTCCCGCAAGAAGTGGCCATAAATACCTGAGCTCTATAGCGAGCAAAATTATTCTTAATTTACCTCAAATTCTCTCAGCTTCTTGGCTTTATTTGTATGGGCAATATGAGTTTAGATTCAAATTTTTTCAGCACTCAGAAACACAAGCATGAAGCAACTATACTGGTAATGGCGTCTGACGAAGGACGGAGACTGTAACCAATGGATACTTAACTCAACTAGGAAGAGAGATATACCAATTTATTTAGAAGTTTTAAGTTTGATTTTTAGAAATGGCATCATCTATGGGGATTAACTAAATTGCAAGCAAATACTAATAAAATTGATCCAATTGATAAGAAATTGGTCTATAATTTGTAAGGTGGTGGATTCAAATCTTCTTGATGATATGAGAGTTTTGTTAGAAGTGGTTTGTAAATATTTCTTAAGTATTTTTTAAATTTGAAAACATGCATTGGTCTTAACAAGTCCTTGAAACTCAATTTATTTAAAGTTTTATGTCACCATAAAAATGTTACGAGTAAATATCTGAGATGAATTTATCCCATCACTAGTTTTTTTTTTTAATGAAAAAAAAATCAAGCAGTTAATTTAAAGAACATTTTATAATGGGAATCTTTAGACTATGAAAAGTTGCCTTCAAAGATGATCCTTTGCTACAGTTTGAAAAGTATAGTTTCCTTTGTTATTCTTTGTGGTGCAATGAATTTTAGAATAACCTAAAGCCGGTGAGGTTTGAAGAAATACCTTGACAGATGCTATCTGGAGGAAGAATGAAGAATCATTGTAATTTTTTCTGGACATTTAATTTGCATCAAGCATTGTCACATTCAAACCATGAGTACTCCAACTGATTATATTGTAGTTGAAAATTTGCACTTCGATCATGTTTATATAAAAGTAAGTAGATAAGCTAATCTACTTACCCACTAGACATCAAATAACTATATTGATATTAGGATTTTTAATTATCCGTCTCCAAATTATAGAAACTTTATGATTTTAGGCATGATTTAATTTTTGTTTATTTACATGGTTTTTCTGTGACCTTGGTTTTTTTTTTAAAAAAAAAAAAGTTGCACTTTAATCTCACATGACAATGCTTGGAATACCCAAAAATCTCAAATATGAAAATTGTTATAAAAATTAGTAATTCCAGTCAGAAGTGGCAGTGAAGACCTGAGTTTAGATTCAAATGAGCTGAATGAAGAAGTTAGAAATTCACCTCATTTTGTCAGCTTCTTAGCTTTATCATGTATGCCCAAACTGAGTTTAGACTCAAATTTCTTCAAAACTCAGAAAAACAACTATATAGCAATAGTGGCGCCTATCAAAGGATGGGGATTCTGACCACTAGATGCTTGGTGTATCTGTAAGAGATATATTGACTTAATTAGAAGTTTTAAATTTGAGTTCTAAAATATAACAACTGCAAGTAAATGGCTGAGATGAATTTCCCCCATCTCTTGCAAATTGTGGGCAAAACACAATTTTGGAAATATCAAGGAGATGAAAGTGATATCACAGAGCATTTTCTCATGTTTAATATATAAGGCATTTTATAGAATTCCAAAGGTAATAAGCGAAATTACGTTATGGAAGGAGCAAATGTATGTAATTTCTAATAATTTCAATAGCTAACTTTAAAGAACATTTTAGAATGGGCGAATCCGTAGATTATCAAAAGTTGCCTTCTGAGAACGTGCAATTTTTTTTAAGGAAAAATAATTGATAATTTCATATCTTTATTGCATGGGTCATTCCGATGGATAATAAATGTTTGGTGTTTAAGTATGTCGTGATAGAAAATAGTGTTATATAAGATAATATCATCTAATGCTTTTGTAATAAATATATTTTCCCTTGCATATGTGGTTTTTTCACTAATATTTAATATTTAATACGGGTGGCAATAAATTTGTAGCTTCATAGCATGTAAACTTCTATGTAAGTGAGTTGTAGATTTGATTCCGCTTATAATCTATATCATTATATATGTTCATTTAATTCAAAAAAAAACATTTAATATGGAGTAAAAGTAAAATTTTATAATAAAAATTTAATAATATGATTCATAAACTAGATTTAAAAATATAAAAAAAAACACTTTTGGGCAGACCCTGAGAGGCCGACTGTTCTACTTTCACCACTACATGCATAGGATCACATCAAATGAGTTTTTATTTTTTGTTTGGGCTAAAAGAATGGTTGTGCGGAAATTGGCCGCATGAAGTTGGGCTGAGTTGATTAATTTGGTTCAGCTTGATCCCACTCTACTAATTAAAAAAAAAAATTTAAGATTCATATAACAAAAATTTATTTGAGAGTAAATCATACTTTTTCTGTTAAAAAATATTTTTAACAAAATCACACCTCTAATAAATTAATTTACTGTCTTTAAATTTATATTATATTTTTATATTTATCTTTGCTTGATAGAACATCTCACTTATATATGACATATTTTCATATCAAGATTCAAGAGTATTTTTAAAAAAAATTATTAATTACAGATTAAAAAGACTATATATACCTCATATTTTCAAACATCTGACCTTAAAAAAAAGTCGTCATATTTTTTTTACTCGGAGGATCTTCTTGAAAAGAAATCTGGTCCTTATTTATTAGAACTCATACCGCAAAAACATTAGCAATTAAAAATTAATTTTATTTTAAAAATCGTTGATTGATTAAAAAGTCATATAATTTAATTTATTCTAAATTATATTTTGTCAAAGAAAAGAAAATCAATGACAAGACATTGTGAAAACAAAAGGGGCGAAAACAATTTGCTTGTTGATAGCAAACGAGTGGAAAACTACACGCCACTCATCTTTTCTTGTCTCTGCATGCCACGCCTTAAAGCCAAACAAGTACAGCATGAATTCCAAGCTAAACAGCATCAATGGCGATTCGGCAATATTTATATAGATCTATACACCACAATAACACATACATAACTAGAAGAAGTTCATCATCAACGTAACAACATTTCATGGATTATAATAAGAAGTTCCACACTTGCATCTCCACCCTTCTGGCTCATAATTTGCATACTGAACCCCAACCCGCCCTGCTGTTGTAGGGATTTGAATTGGATCACAAGGCACACAACCCCTACACTTGTGCTCACACCTTGGTGGAATTGACCCTAACCTGCTCAATCCTCCTCCTATTTCTGCAAACCCATTTGCCATTCCTTCATTTCCCTTCAATCCCATCTCGCAAAACAGAAATTTTATCCGTTAAACAATGTTCCCAGAGACAGAAAATCATAGTCTTACACAGAGGCATGGATTGGTACCAGTGTGGAGTCAGAACCTGGATCTGGGATGTATCTTGTTGTCTGATCATCTGTGGAAAATTGATATAATGTTTGAGAATATGATGATGTCGGTGATCAAAAAGAGACGGGAAAAAGGAGTCCGGGAAATTACTAATTAGAGTGAAGACACTGTGCAGGAGAAGTGTTTGTGAAAATGACCGATTCAGTGGTAACGTGTAATGAACTAATGAATATAGTTTGTCAAGTTGTGTACTGACCTTGTGAAGTGGCAGCGGCATAACGCGACAGAGGCTGCTTGTTCATTACAGAAACCAAAGTTGTGAGTAGAAGAGCAGCCATGAGATTTAAGGAGCACGTTGATCTCTTCATGGTGATTGGTGAGACCTTAAAATGATGTGGAAAATGATTGTCTAGTTGATGATACAAAAAGGTATGAGAGAAAAAAAGGAGACAAACTGAGTCGATCTGGTTCTCAGGCTCAGTGAATCTCACTTACTTGAATATACTAACCATCATCACTGTTCAATGAGATTGACCTAAGATGCCACAAGAGAACAAGCAACTAATGGAGAGATATATAAAGCAAAGACCAAAAGAGGTTGATCTCCTCTCTCTCTCTCTCTCTCTCTCTCTCTCTCACTCTCACTCTCACACTAACACACAAAATTGTTGCTCTTTATTGGGTGCTTACATAACAAGATGAAGATAATGATATGGATGTGAGTTTAAAGTGAGGAACTTACAAAATATAAATATTACTTTCATGCCTGGTCCCTGTGAAGCTGAGCTTCCTTTTATACTGTTTCAGAGTTTACAGCACTTCTTAACATCTCATTTCACATGTCAATTGTCTTGTCTTGCATTTGAGATTTTTTTTTTTTTTTGGGGTGGGGGTCACGACAAACTGTTAGGTTCCTAGTTTTTTTTCTTTTGTATCAGAAACTAAAACTCTTTTAGGCCAAGAAACTGAATCTTCTTTATTACTCTTTCAACTAACATTCTCTTTTTCCTTTCTCTGCTTAAAATTTATTATTAAGCAGTGCTCATTACAATGACTCCCACAAATATATTCGCACAAAATTCAATAGGATTATAATTATAAATATGATTATGATTATATAATGTGATAATACTATTGTTTGGTGAAAAAAATTATTTTAATTTATTGTAGTACCAGGCTGCCTCCTAGACTGCAGAGCTGTTCTTTCTTTCTTTCTTTTTAAAAATTCAAACAACTGTTAAGAATTGACTCTTCCAAGTGAGCCCAACAGAAGCTAAAAGAATTTTATATTGTTCATAATCAGAAAGATGAAAGCTGTCTGGGGCAATCTCACTGGGGGAAAGCCGCAAGAGACATAGAAATGGCTATAATTGAATGAGTCCCCAAACTGAGAAGTTAAAGAGTAAAGGCTCAACATTGCTTATTGCAGTACACAGTTTACATACTGAAAGGTCATTTTCTAGCAGGTTGGTGGGTGGGAAACAGGAAGATGCAGTCAAGTCTTCCTCAAGAACTTCGAATGGTCAACTGATGGTTTTGATTGGGTCATTTATTATGCTAATCACAGCTTAACTTTCTCAAAATGTAATTTAACTAATGTGGGAAACAACAAAAAAAGACTTATTTTTCATATCATGGATGTTTTATCTTCTTTTTCTTTCTTTCTCTCCAAAGATAATGTGTTAAAAAAGGTTACTTTTTATCTTTTTGATTAAATATATAATATCATGGATATGTTGAGGTTGTGAATGAACATAGGTACGTGGGACAGTATTTACTTGTGACTTATCCCAACCAGTAGGACTTTGCTCACTGACTCAGATCGATGTCCAGTCACCATTTTCAGCTCTATTCAGCAGTTAATGAGGGATTCAAATTCCAGAGGCTTCAACTGAAGAGTCCAGAGATGTTGACTACATCAAGAAGAAGAGGAAGACGAAAAAAGAAATGATCTTACTGTGATGGAACAATTCAGACTCTACACAGTATCTTTAACCATCTGTAAAGTTTTCTGCAAACTTGGACTTAACCTCACCAGTAAATTTGGTCAGTTAAATATGAATAGACTTTGAGTCTTGGTTTCCTGGTTTGAGAAGTTTTATGTGGCTCTGATATATATATATATATATACACACACCCTCACACACACACAGTTAGGGGCTCACTGAAATGGGGGGGTTGTTGTTCATTGATGAAAATTGGATCTGTCATCACTGCCAAGTGCCAACTGTTTTTTCATATCAAAAGATCAGTCATAAATTTGGGGAATCCAACCTCAGGGCAGATTAACCTTGCAATGCAAGTAGTCAAATACAGTATGACATGAACCGTGAGATGGTTTTTTAAACAAAATGTAAATGATATTTTTTAGGAATTTTATTTTCTTAGGTAATAACAGAATTTAATGGAGTAATCAAATGCAGCTTTAAAGAGATGAAGCTTTAGGAGTACTTAGCATGCAAACATTTTAAGGTGTGTTTTATTTATAAAATATTAGAATTTAGTGGTAAAAATCATTACAATTCAAACACAAAATTTATGTAGTTATCAGTTATCTAATCAAATAAGTTTTTGGGTAAAATAAAGCTCATGTAAGACAAAAAAAAATACGCTTGATTGATTTGATTGAACTCAATATTTTATCAGAATTTCCGTCTCTCCCATGATTTTAACCGCCAAAAAAAATGTTTTAATCAAAGTAGATGAAAATCGTTGGAAGAAGAACCTTAAGTGAGATGTGAGAATTCTTTAAAACAAAGTATCAACAAGTTCATTCATCCAAAAAAACAACGTATGAGACATTATTTTATGTAAAAAAATTGGTTAAAGTGATTATTATATAATGAGTTTTGAATTGTCGATTACGGAAGGTACAAAGATGGTGTCATCATTGATGAAAAAGCAGCAAAATGAGGAAGAAAGTAGGGATGTTATAGTATATAATAGCAAGTGGCACAGTGTACTAAGAAACAAAAGGACTAACACGACAACCAATGGCTCCAAACTCGGCAGCTTTTTTTTTAACCCTTAGCTTTTAACTAAAGCCAACAGAAGCCTTCATCTTCATCCTCACCACTGATGTCAATGACGTTTTGCAGTCTTCATATCTAATATTTATATTCTTGCTTTTTTAACATAATTATAAATTTAAATTTTACTAATTGAATAATCAACAGTGTAGATATATTTAGTTAAATAATCGTCAATGAAATTTTAGGATTTAGCCCTGCAGTGAATCTATGTATTGGTGCAGTTCAATACGGTCAGTGAAGTGCAGGAAGAAAGAAAGGGGAGGGAGAGAGGGGGGGAGAGAGAGAGAGAGAGCACCATATCTGCCTCTTCTCTGTGTCTGGGGATGAAAAAAGCTGCCTGAGGCATTTTTGGACCTTTGCAAAAATTAGGGTTTGTTGATGATCAGCAAAGATTGAATGTTCAACTGTTCATCCTACCCTTCTTGAACTCTTCGACATAACTTTTTCTTTCTTTTGCCTTTTTGTCTGCTATTATCAATCACTTTATATCATGCATATGATTGAGTGATTTGATATACACTCATTCTTTCTTGCTTGCTTCTCACATACACTAAGTATTCTAAAAGGTACTAAACTCAGCCATTTAATAATTCATGTAAATTTAAATAAAATTCTGTTATTGAGTGATATGAATTAAAAAAAAAAACTTAGACTGTTTCTCTGGTACTAAGTTTCATGTAATTTTTAACATACAATTGGTAATCCACCTCTCCAAAAGAGGAACAAAATTGGGTGAAGCTTGTCAATGAAGCAAAAATATCAAAATATTTCAAAGAATAAAGGAATAAATAAATTCATGAAAAAATATAAAACAAAATAAAACAGAGGGCATTTAAGGTTAAATACTCTGCCCCTTCACATGAACCCTCTTTCTTCTGACCCATCTTTGGTCATTTTTAGGGTTCAGAAGTCTTTATTTACTCTGAAGAAGGACCCTAATCCCTACAAGTCTATATAGCCTTAACTTGCTACAGCTATAGGGGTCCTAGGACTGGGCAGTCCCATGTAAGCAATGCTGGGAGACATCCTGACTTTTGGGCTGGGCCTTGGTGAAGGAATTGGGCCGTAGTTGTTCAGTCTTCCAGAATTGGGCCTAGGTGACAAATTCACTTGCTCCATTGCTCTTGATTGCAGATGCCCAGGATACTCACGCACACACCCAATCCTGGGCCCAGCCCCAGTTGACCACTTGCGAGACAACCTCTTGGACAGGTCAAAAGCTGGGGCCTCGACCTTCTTGTCACCATCTTCAATAGCAACAACTTTTGCCTCAACCTTCGTGTCGCCAATGTCTGTCTCCTTGCCATTATTGTCTTTGGCATCAATTGTAGTTGTAAGCTCTGGTTGTGAAGTGGGACCCTTATCTGCTTGTGGTTGTTTATTTGCAATGAGTGAAGTTGTTCCATAGAATGAAGTAGCATCATCATCAATTGCACATCTCTGTATTGACCAGTTAAATAAGAGATCCATTAGGTAATTTGAACAAGATTCAAACCATTTCATCATTGAAACTATAAAACATTCTCACATTGATTTAGCTTATAAAGGATTAGTATGTAAGTCAATTATGTAAGTCTAAAGTGGAAAAATGATTCACTTAAAGGAAATTTTTGTTCGATGATCTAAATTTCTTCTTCTGCTGGAGGCGTGTGTATTAACTGCACAGACAGAATTTGTTCAAAATGATGGTCAAAGAGCAAAATTTTAGTTACCTTAACAGTGGAGAGGTCTACATTGTGCTCCTCAAGAAAGCTAATGAATTCTTTGAAGTTCTCTTCTGTAGGGAGGTAGTGTCCACTATAGGGCCAAATAGCCTGAAATGTTTTAATACAATAACAACACTTATAAGTGAATCTACTTCAGGGAAATTACCAGAAAGTTAAAAGTGATAGAATGGAAGTGATTATGCTGTGTGCTATATTATGTTAGTACCTCAAGGACACCCTGATGAGCCACTAATCTTCCTGCTGCTGTGGTTACAGCTCCAGCCAGGAAGCTAGAATGCTGAAAAGAACCCTTCTTCTTTCGCCCCACATACAAAGACCTTGTGGGGCTCAGAACAAATATCCATTTGGACTTATCATCAGTATCCAGAAGCTTCCCATCCAGTCTGTACACCAGCTTGCCTCCTTCAACAATAACTTCGTATTCTTCCCTTTCTTTCTGCAATGGTACCACCAAAAATCAGTGATATGAGATACAGGCAACAGCAGATTTTAGATAGATTCAGGCTATACAAAGAAGTGAATCTTTATAGCTAATTAAGTTTGTTGAATACGAATCAGAATCTAATTCAAACTTATGGTTTATACATGTGAGTGCGTGCGTGCGTGTGTGTGAGAACTTACTGGTCCAAGATATTTAATGCATTGGCGTTGAAGAGTGGATCTTGGACACTTCTCAAGATTTACTTCTTTGCCTTCTCCGATATCCAACCTAAATGTAATAAAAGAAGTAAATTAGCCACCCAGATCCTTAGTTCCTATCTACCATGATCATGTAAGTACAGTGAAGAGATTAGATCTTAGAATGAGTGCCTACCAGTAGAAAAATGGTTGGGTGCTTTGGCTTTCAAACCATGTATCATAATAGAGGTGCAGATTATGGCCATATCGATGACGTGGGTCAATCTGCAACATTAACAAAAGAAAAGAAATATTTTCAATACTTCATAGATCATATTTGTTGATCAAAAGCTTCAAGGCCATCAGGACAATCTTCTTAGCTCAAATACTGGAATAATGGGGTAAGAACTGAGAAGGTTTCAGGGTCTTACAGCCTCAAGCCAATGTTGTAGGGCTAGTTTTTGTGCCTTCTCATCCTTGGACAAACCTTTTCCCACCTGTGTGAAAAATAAGTTAGAAGCTAGATCCCAAATAAAATATTAAAAAAAAAAACGTCAATAAAGATGTTATTAGTTAGGCTTCACAGTGAACAATCCAGATTCTCTCTGGTTAAAAAGTAATTGGTGTATTCAGAGAGTGGTAAAGAAGAAAACTATGCTTCATCCAGAGGAACGCTCTTGTATTATTCTTTTTCCAAATGAATGGTTTTGCAAAGAGTCACATATAAGCGTGATTAAAGTAACTTACAGAAAATTGAATTTATTAGAAGATTGAATACCTTAGCTACTCTTGTCCTTGCCCTTGCCCACCGTGATACAGCAGTTTCCTGTTTCTGGACATCAAAGAACGAAATAGAACTCCGTTTGAGGGCAGCAAAGTCCAGTGCCTTCCACCTAAACCCATAATTAATAACTAAAAAAAGGAATTTAAGCAAATAATACCAATAAATCAAATTTCACTGCTTATACTGAGACTACCAACCAGAGTTCCTCCACCACCACAGCACAGTCCGCAAGGTTTCTTCTAGTACGGTAACTCTTGTAGACTTTCTGAAGCTTAGTTGCAGCAGCATCAAGCTCACTGATGGGTCTGGGTGAAGAGAAAATTACTTCTTCAGGTAGAGATAGGATAGGCACAGTTTTGCTCGTTAGAGAATCAGAAATTATGTTCACTTCAGCATCTGAAGGATTCCCTTCAAGAATTATATTTTCTGGTCTGTGATCCTTCAACTTGGTTGAATTGCTGGTGTTGTCGGACCCATTTGACAGTATGGTAGTGCCTGATTCTCTTTTCTTTAAGCTGCTGCCTGATCTTAGAATCCTAGCCCCATCTTTGGAAGCAAAACCGAAGTTGAAAGACAAACCAAACAATGAATGGCGAACAATTTCTTCCCAGGCTGATAAGAGTAACGAAAGCGATAATCCCATAGAGCTGCAGATGTATGAACAAGCAGTTCAATTTGTTTGAACTTTGAAGAAAGCACCCACTTATTATGATTCCTGCCCAAATTTAAGATTTGTCAGACCAAGCAAAGTATGAGAATATATATTCAAAAAGGTCAAAGAATTGAATTATGGAATCTTTTTGCCAAATAAAGAAGTTCTTGTCATCCTTGGTTAAAAGAGGAGAATCGGTAGACGCCTTGAACTCTATAATATTCCTTTTTAAGCTTCAGATTAAAGAAATGAGATAAAAACACAATCAAGAACGAAGTACGTTTCTGACGCTTACTGTGGAAATATAACAAACAGCTTTAAGGCGAAAGCAAAAGATCTTCGATGAATAATTTACCTCCTTCTTCCTGGATGGCTCGTCAAGATATCAGTCTGGTATGCTAAAGAGAAATCAAGTCTAACTCCAAGAACAAACTCAAACACCCACGAATTAAATTGAAATGATGGGTCTGCCCAACTGGCTCCCTGCTTATATATACCTCTCGGAAAAAGAAAAACCTGCTCCAAAGGAGGGCCTTCAAATGCGTGTCAAAAACTGTAAAATGAAAAGGGGTAGTCGTTGAATTCCACAATGAACCTTCTGAGCTACCTTCGGGTTGGAAAATGATGGGCAGTGGTAATATTCAAAGTTTACTTTCTTCTTGTTTTCTTTATGTGTTCAAAAGCCACCAGTGGTAGTTTGATGCATTCAAAGCTGGACCTTTCGGGACTCTCACAGATTTTAGTGTTTCTTTTTTTTTTTTTTTTTTGTTTCTTCGGAGACCATATGTACACACATCAACAGCAACAGTACAGTGCGACTAAGAAGATGAACATTGAAGAGTAAAAAGAGGGAACAATAAAAAGCAAGCAGGTCAAAGAAGGTAAGCTTTGCGAGCTTCCTTGAAAATTCAGGACTTGGCTTTTGATCCTCAAGGGTTGGAATTTGGTGACCATCTTTACGGTCAAACGAACTTTGATAAGTCAAAGCCTGAGGTCACGCGCCGAGCCTCTCGGGCAATGCGGCTGCGCGTTGTTACTTTTACGGTGATCATTGGGACTTGGGAGTACGTACGTAATCTCCATATATAATTTTTTATTGGCATTGAATTTTATATTTTTTAGACATAATATATGGAGCAGGCTTTCTTCCATGCAAAGCACTGCAGATTAAATTGTTAAATTGAATTTGATAGTTTCAAAAATTATAAATTAATTTATATCATTAAAATTTGATCCACGGTTCAGATTTACAATAAAGCTATATTGGAAAGAAACTAACTCCATAGTACAAGCAGTGGACTCTTGCTTTTCTCATATCATTTGAAGCAAAGGAGCCAACTATAGATTGCTATGAACTTCCTCGTGTTAATCATATAATAGAGTTAATTAATTAATAACCATAAAATCGTGTTCTTTAAGAAAGCATTTCCAAGGGGTAAAGTTAAAAAATAAATATATTTAGGATTAAATACAATTTAAAATTTTGCCTTATAATTAGAACAGGAATAAATATACAAGAGTTATGATCTGAGATTTGTTTTAGAGTCCCTGCCACTTACGTTAACCTAAAATAATTTAAATTTGATATTTCACACAATGGATGTTAATTGTTTTTTAAAATTATAAGGCCACAATTAAAACCATGCAAATGAAAATGAAATTGCATAAATTTGAAAGAAGATAATTCCTGGATTCTAAAGGTGGAATGTGCATAATAGTGATTGTAAAATTGTCATGGAAGGTATGTTGAGCAAACCAATCGAAGGTATCAAATATTCTGCCAAGCAAAGTTTGAAACCATAGAAAATAACAAGAAGTTTCATGGTACTAGCAGCAGAAGGTTGATATCCCATATATCTCGAGAGAAGAAATTCTCAAGTAAATCAAGTGTATCACATTATTTATAGTCTATCCAATCAAAATATGATATTTAAATGATATTAAATATAAATTAATTTTGATATTAATAATGGTAAAGTTAGAAAAGACAGGAAATTAAATATAAATTATATTATAAGAATAAAATCAATTAAAATAATATTACATAAGATTTTATTTAGATAAATTGATACATTTTAATTGAATAGATCACAAATGACGTGGTGTGCTCAGTCTACATAAGAATTTCTCATATAAAGAGTCCTTTAATCAAATTTTCAATTTTCATTCATATCCCAAATGAGACTCCCATAAATTATGGGGCTGTTTGAAATTATTTTTATTTTATTGTTTTGAGAACTTTTGTTTTGTAAACATATTTTGAGAATAAAAAATAATAAAAATAGATATTTTTTTATTTTTTTTTTGTTCTCTAGAATAATAATCACAAAATACCTAAAAATTATTTTTATTTTTTATTCTCTCCAAAATAATATTTATTTTTTGTTCTCCAAAATATTTTTTAAAAACACATTATCAAATAAATTTTTTTTATTCTCTTAATTTTAAAGAAAAAAAACTGTTTCAAAATAAGTTTTTAAATAGGCCCTACAATACTATACCATAAATTGTTCAATTAATATCAAGTTTGAACCATCTAAGATTAGGAGAAGTTCAATTTGAGTGACGATCTCTATATATAGGGGTCAAGTTGTTCATTCTAGCTTCAAGCTTCTTATAGATGCTAATAAAGGCAATGTCTCCTTGCAAGGTGTTTGTCTTCTGAGCCAACATTTGACACTTGAATTTCCACATACTCCAACAAGTATTGAAAAGCATGTCCCCTATTAGATTTTTCAGCCAAACTTTTACCCCTCCTTAAAAAAATATAAAAAAAATTTTTATTGATATAAGGTATTCAAAAGATATAAGGTATTTTTAATTTTTTAATATATAATTAATGAGTTTTTTGCAAAAATATTCTTTATAAATAAATCAACCATTCACCTTTTGAGTGACACACAATCCTATTAAATAAAGATATATATAAGAAGATAGTATACATTTAAAGACCATTAACTATATTATCAGATGTAATTCAGTTAAGAACATTGGAGCTTTCACAAACATAACCTATATTATAAGACTTAACTAAGCAAGTAGCTCAACATTTATTATATTTTGCATTATGGCTTGTTTATTATGTCTGTAATGATATATCATTATATATCAATAATAAATATTTTCAAAAATTTTCAATGATAAATATCTCATGTATCAATGATAAATTCTTTATATATCAATAACAAACCTTTTATCCATTAATGTGAACCGATTATATTTTTAATTTTTTTAAAAAAACTTAGTTCATATTGAGCACAAGATTTTTCTTAGCTAATGAGATCATTTATCCTATATTTGTTTTTTTTTTTTAACAAAGAGAGTGTATTAGATTAAAGGAAGTAGTGATTGCATGTTACTGCCGTCATTTTTTCCCCCAACTTCCCCACATGCTAACGTCCCATTTGCCAAACTTTCGCTTTTATACGGTCTATTTTTAATAGATTTTTCTATAGTTGACTTAATTTGTTTTTAATTTTTTATTTCATTTGAAGCATCATTTTCACATTAAAATTTTATTTGATTCTAATTTCTTAAATTATATTGTATCTTTTGTTTTAATTTTACCCTTTAATTTTATTTGATTTTAATTTAATTCTTTAACTATCATGTTAGTGTACTCTAATTTAAATATTTACTACTAAAACACTATAAGAGAAATCAAATTAAAATTGATATCAACATAGATAATAAAATTTATGAAAAAGTGAGTATATTTTTAAATATAATGATAAAATAGTATACTTAGATCCCAGCATCATTAAACTAAGCTGCAACTTGGTGATACCAAGTAGCAACCTGACAGTCCCAAACAATTAAACACGGACTCTTTTAATGCTGTGACTGTGTCTACAAAGGTGGATACACATAGTGATTAAATTAATTTCAAATGTTCATCATAATTACAATGTATTTATATTTATTAGAAAAAAATAATCTATATTTTTTTAATTTTAAATTATGTCCTATAATTTATTTTTTTAATTAATTCCTTATAGTTTTATCCATCATATATGTTAATTCTTGAAAGTTAAAATTATTAATAAATGATTAACTTTTTCCAAAACAAAAATGTTGTTAGAGTTTATAAAAAAATTGGTTTAATAATTTTAGCCAGTTTATTTATTTAATACATTATTTAAATTTTTATTATTTTTTATGAACATTTTTACCTGTATAAACATTATTTAGAAGACAACATAATTATCAATATTTTAAGGCCTGAATTAACATGGATAATTGAAATGGTTGAATTGTCACATGAATACAAAAATGATTAGATTTGACTCGTTAACCCATTTTGAAGATTCACCTTTTTTTTAACCAAATGAATTTGATAGAGCCAAAATGAACTCGAAATCCGAAATAGTTATACCATTTTAAATCACTTTTACCCTTTTTTTACTCTTACTTTGAAAATAATTTTTTTATTCAATTTAAAAATATTATTGTCAACTGGCTTATTGTAGTAAAATTTGGATGCATGATTTATGCATTGACATTAATTATTTGGATTAGAGTGTAAAAAAAATTAAAAACTCGTATACTTTAAAAAGACAAATAAAGTAAATAAAAAATATGCATAAGGAAAAATAAGAAAATTTAAGCTTAATATGTCCAGGCTGAATAATTCTAAACCATGAATGATGTTGTCAATATGTTTAATGTTATATGTGTGTAACATATAAATATTATTTTTTATTAATTAATATGTTATCAATTTAACCACCGATTTAATTAATTAAATTGTGAAAACTGTGATCCATTAACCTTTCCAATTCATCATCCTATCCAATTTTTAAACCTTTTTTTATCAACCCATCCAATTTTTGACCTTTGATAATTATATAAATTTTGAGTTACAAAAATTATATAATTAATTATAAAGTTATACTCCCTCCAATCCAAACTAAAAGTAGTTTTTGGAAAAAATCACAAACAGATAAAGTTCTCATCTTCATAAAAATATATATTATTTTTTCTTTTTACTTCTAATTCTAATTACCAATGCATCCTATAATGAGTGAAAGATACATTCATACAAAAATCTAGCTTAATAAATATAAGCGGTAAAATGGAAAAAAATTTACATATATTAAATTGGTTATATTTTGAACTAAAATTGGTTGAGAAAAAATACTTATATTTTAAATTGAAACAAGTATAGTCTTTTAATAAAAGTATAAAAATTCTTAATTCCATTCTTATTAAGAAAAAATAAAAAAGATTAGCCTTCACTTCAATCATAAACAAACTTAATGGATGAAATTATAAGGACTTAATTAAACAAAATAAAGAAAAAGGACTTAATTTAAAATTGAAAAAATTTCTAAGGACCTGAAAATGTGTTATTTCTATTTATTATTTATTAATTTATCCTCTTTTGCCTTATTTATAAGTTACTTTCAGAATGTTTTGTCAAAATTAAAAAATATATATTTTATTAACTCCATCTTAAAATTTAATAAGCTTTTACTTCTACCATTAAAAGTAAAAAGAATTATATTATATTTTTATGGCATTTAATAAGAGTAAAAAAGTAAAGATGAACGATAAAAATAGAAAAGAACAAGACTTATGTACTTATCCTTATATATTTAATATACTTTAATCAATCAAATCAAAATATGTGAATTTTAATATGTCATAATATTAATAATAAGAATTTTTTATATAATAAACAATCTATAATAAATACACATATTTTGATTTAATTGAAAATAAGCATTTTGAATATA